GATGCCTAAAAATGTCATTTTATTGTTGGTGTTTTTTCTTACAAAATTACAAATTAAAAAACTATAAAAAACATAAAAACAAAAGTGAATCTACAACAAAAACAAAAACAATCAAAATTCTCACAAAATTCTAAAGCCTCAATGGAGACTTCTTCTTAATCCAAGTTCCAATGTCTTCTTACATATAATGATAAACTCGTGTATACTCTTCTGCCATAGATGAAAGATGGAAAAGAAGAGGGGAGAGCGTACCAGTAATTTAAAGCTCGTACATGGAGATGGAGAACACATAAATGGAAAAAAACCAAAGATTGAAGGGTTTAAATATTAAAGTTGAAACGTTCCAAGAGAAATAGAAGAGTTTTTGAGTTAAATGTGAAAATTAATTGGATTTAAATATTAAAGGTGAAACRTACAAGAGAAAGGAAAGAGTTTTTGAGTTAAATGTAAACATTAATTTGCAAAATTATTAAGAAAAAAATCAAAATGTGGAAAAAAGAGAAAAATTGGATCTTTGCATCGAGGAGATGCCACGTCAACCTATCATGATTTTGCTTTATAGATATATATAGATATAGATATAGATTATATTATTAGAAATTTATTTAAATTATATCATCAAGCATTGTAATTGACTATTTTTTGAAGATCTCATTTTAGTTATTTCACATTCTTATAAGTTAGGTTTTGTGAAACACAATTTGTTCATCAGTTAGCTTATCAGCTAACAACTAACTTATCAGTTATTAGTTAGCTTAAAAGCTAGTTTGCCAAGCTTAAGGTAGAAAAGATAGAGATTCTAGTTAATACGTTAAATAACTAGAAGGGTACTCGCACAATGCAGCAAGATAAATTTCGATTTTAATGTTTAATTTTTATTCTTTGTCTTTATCAATATAATAGGATTTTATGTGTTTTTGAGAAAACGATGATGTTTTTATTTTTGAATGAAATATGAATTGAAGATAGGATAAAAATTTGAAAATTTTAAATCGATATTAATATCAAATTAACTATTTACTAGTGTTCGTTTTTTTTAGTGTAACTTTTATAATTCATTTTTTATTATAATTTAATTTAGATTTAATAACAGAGTAATTTATTTTTGGTTTAACAATATAATTTTTTATAAAGATAATAATTAAACATTCCGTTAGAACTCAATAATTATCTTAATTATATTTTAGATTTTCTATATTTAAAATGGAGGTTTATCCTGTATTTGATCATGCTTATCCACAATTAGTTACACGAATTCAAACATGGAGCTTTAATAAATTGTACATATACATAATTACTTGTAATCTTGAATTTTAAGTAATATGCATTAATATACAATACAAATTTTAGAGTTTTTCAAATGATTAAACCTCTTTTCTATATTAGATTTTGGTTCAATGAATTATCTATTATATGTCGGTTCATCCAAATTCAAGATTGTCTTTGAGCGTTGGCTTTATGTTGACGTTACAAGTGGATTGGACAACCCCTTATCTGTATTGGGGGCTTCAATAATAGCTTAATTGGAGGCCTACACTCTTTAATGATCCCCTTCAATCACTATCATATATACTACTAATAAACATCTTCAAACATGAAATTGACCAAATATTATAGAGCATAAACAAAAACGTCACATTGACTTTAACAAAACCCCCTTATCGTTGATGGTTTCAGATTAGTCATTTTTCAAAAACCCTGAATTGATCACGCTAGCATGTATAGCCAAGCTGACTTACACTTTCCACCTTCTCCATTCAACTCACAATATGTTTTACCTATTTGACTTTTTGAATTCAAGATGCACAACACTTGGTTTGCTTAATTCCAACGTGCCTAGTTTTCAAATTTGTAGAACTTTCTTTGTTTTTCATACACATGAGGTAGGAATTACTGTTTTTCTTGTAACCATAGGTTTCCTGATCAACTTACGAGCACTGATTAACCTCCCGAGGCTATGATGACTTGGAGTCATTACACGTGAACTTCCATGACCACAAGGATTAAGATTCAAACCCAAGATAAATGAAATTTTCTATTATATCCCTCTAAAATTTAACGAGTACAACATAATCCAAATGGATTGTTGCGTCACAATCCTACAGCAATCCACCCAATTGGCTACCACGTAAGTGTAGGTCAATCAAATGATTTCAATTCGAATAACTAGATATATCAGATTTTAGGAATTATATAAAAAAATAAAATAGAAAGTGAAATAAGTTTTTATATTTWTAAATATGATATTTTAACGATATCCGAATCTTTAAGTCACCCACACAACAAGTCATGAGTTCAAACATTATAAAAGGTAACAATTATATTTATGGGTATGAATATTATATATTTTAAAAATAATATAAAAATTTATTTTTAATCGAATTAAAATTTAAGATCTAATTTTTTTATTTATAATAAAAGATTGACGTGGTCCCCAGTTTTTGTATTTGAATGAAAACCTAACCTTTAGCACCATACAAACTGACGAGCGACTTATTTGCAAAGCTTTCTTCCTGGTTTTTGCCCACCCCGCCTCCCCCATTTTCTCTCACGCACAGAATCAAAATCAAAGCATTCGTTTATCATGGCAACTCTTTGATCAAGAGCAATTAATCCTCTAATCGGAATCTCAGTAAGTCGCATCTTCTCAACCTAAATCTATCTGTTAAGTCAAGTATCACTTTTGCTATGGATTATGTGAATGTGAATCTCTATTTTAGTGAGCAAAAAATCTGGTTAATTTTACCTTTTCTGTAGTCTGATATGATTTAGATATGAAAAATTGTAGAAACTAATGTAGAATATTGGAATCTACTCGTTTTTTCGAATATTGGGATATTCCGCAACGAGGAGATGACGTCTTCTATAGCTTGGTAGTATTCCCAGTTTGCATTACGTTAACTCTGATCGTTTTTTGCAAAACTTCTAGCAGTTTCCGGTCTGAATCATGTTGTGAGGTTTCTAGTTTGTGAAATCTCGAGATATTCGTGAGAAGAATAATCATTGATGCATTGATTTTTGATTATATGATGCATTGGTTGAAGAAATCCAATTTGCAATGAATTTATATGCTACGTCACTGCTTATTAGGTTTATCCGTTTATGTTTCACTTCAATGGATTATGGAATAAGGGATAATTCCAAGTTTTTAGACATATGCTAATTGATTGAGCGATCTCTTGTGGTGTGACTAAATGACATCTTTATGATTATTGAATAATCTGCAGCTGAGATAGTTCTTCAATATCTTGAATTTGGAACAATGACAGATGGCCATGTGTTCAACAACATATCTCTGGGAGGTCGTTGGGGCACTGTGAGTTTTCTTATTTCCTCAAGCTTTCTTCTGTTTTCCCTCTTATCTGTATTATATTGCAATATAGTTTGTAACTAATCTTAGCAAATCGATGCATACCATTTAATAAAAACTGAAACATCTTCTATCAATTTGTATGGAAGCTGTTTTGTTATTTGCCAAAGGGTTTCACCTGATTTGTCCTCAGACTTGATGAATTTTATTAGAGGTATTGGAAGAAGACTTCCTGTTTTCATGTTAGAGTTGTGCAGAACTTCTTTGATATCAGCTTCAATTTAATGTCCATTTGATGGTAACATTAATAGATGCGATGAACTAAACTGTAATATCACTTCTCCTTGCCTTTCTGCATCTTCTTTTCAACTTTGGCAAAAACGTCTCTAGGGTTTTTGTGTTACTAGCATGCTTGCTATGCAATGCAGAATCCAGGTCAGCTTAAAGTTCATTCCGGCGGTATATTGTGGAAGAAACAAGGAGGTGGTAAGGCTGTTGAAGTAGACAAGTCTGATATCCTGGGTCTTACATGGATGAAAATTCCTAGGACGAATCGGCTTGCTGTTGAAATTAAGGATGGTTTGAACTACAGGTTCACTGGTTTCCGTGACCAGGTAGTTTTCTATAATCATTCCTGTATGTATTTTTGTTACATATAGGAAAGTGTAAGTTATTTACTTGTTTGGTCAATAATGATAATATGGTATCCATGATATTTATTTTCATGATCATCTTTTTATTGCCAATTTGAATCTCCGCCTAGGAAGCAGGGGTGCTTCTAATAATTTAATTGGGTGTTTATGGCCGGTATGGAAGGTGCATGACCCGTGCGGTGTTGACCACAGATAGAAGGGGGATACAAAAATTGGGAAAAATGTGAGGGCCCTTTTTTGGGGGAGACATAAATATCCGAAGTAAAACTTGATGCTTATGGTTACAGACAACACAATAAATTCTTTTTCTTTGATAGTTTGGACTAGTATGAGAGCACTAGATAAAAGTAAAAACACAAAAAGGCTTCAGCTTAGGTTTGTGTTTTTTTTATAAATATAATTGATGTATGAATTCCAGAAATTATAACATGCCTTTGCATGGTAGTACAAGATAATTTGCTTCACATATATTTGGTGTTTACCATGGATGTGGAATTTCGTACCTTAATTTAGTTTTTATAATTTAACCTCTATAGCTGGTTACCCATGGTCCACTTTTATATAAACAGATCGGTGCGTATCCTTGTCTCTTGTGACATGATCTTGCCATATTTACGAAAGATATATAACTTTATCTACTATATTTGGGAACAAAAATTACGATTTATTAGCTTTTAGGTCTCTTCTAATTTATTACTCTTTTTGATTCAGTTCAGTAGAATTTTATAGGCATCCGTGTCCTTATAATAGTGTTCTATTGTTATTGCAGGATGTCATTAGCCTGACCAACTTTTTTCAGAACTCTTGTGGGTTAACAACAGGAGAAAAGCAGCTTTCTGTTAGTGGGAAAAACTGGGGAGAAGTTGATTTAAAAGGTTCAGACAACCTTTGCTGTGTCATTTTTAACTTATCCTAAACTTGTTTGTTTTCTGTTGGCTGCTCATGTAAAATCTCCAAAATAGCATATTGTGGAGCTACATGCATTTAGTAATATTCCGGTGTAATGACTCGATAACTACAACGACAAACATTTTATCCAAAAGTAGTTGGAAATCAACTAAGGATACCTCTGTGGAGATTATATGGTTTACTGAGCTGGTTAATTTGTTATTCATTCTTTGTCTATGATCATTTAGTATTTTTCTTTCTGAAAATTTTCAGGCAATATGCTGTCTTTTAATGTTGGTTCGAAGCAAGCATTTGAAGTCTCCTTAGCTGATGTGTCGCAGACACAACTTCAAGGAAAGAATGACGTCATATTGGAATTCCATGTGGATGACACAACTGGTGCAAACGAGGTCCCTCTTTGTTAATAAGTTTTCATTTCCTTCTCTTGGATGATTCATGGTATATTGTATGTGTACGTTTATGATACTAGGCTTGAAGTCTATAACGATTTTGGCATTTTTTAAAATATAATGCAGAAAGATTCATTGATGGAGATAAGTTTTCACATACCAAATAATAATACACAGTTTGTTGGTGATGAAAACCGTCCACCTGCACAGGTTTGATCGTCTGGATTTCTTCATTGTATTCTTGATGTGTAGCATCGTTCTAGTCTCAGGCTTGTTTCCCATCAGGTATTCCGTGAGAAAATAATATCAATGGCTGATGTTGGTGCTGGAGGTGAGGAGGCCGTAGTTACATTTGAGGGCATTGCGATTCTTACTCCAAGGTGGGTTCTTGGCATCATTGTTATCATTCTGGTGGTTTAGATAATCAAATTTATGCAATGCCTCTCTCTCTTGCAGGGGTCGATACAATGTTGAACTTCATCTATCTTTTTTGCGGCTGCAAGGGCAAGCCAATGATTTCAAAATTCAATTCGGCAGCGTTGTTCGTGTTTTCGTACTGCCAAAGGTTTGTCTTTTGCTTTCTTCTCACCAGAATAAATGAACTTTTTTGTGCCTTGTTGAATAGTTCTAGAATTATGGGCTGCAGCATGATTGATATGTAACTGTAGTTCATTTTTTCTGGAACAAATTTCTGAATGACCTTATTCATAATTCAAAATTTTCCTGTCATAGTGCAGTCAAACCAACCCCATACGTTTGTTGTTGTTACCCTTGATCCACCAATCCGCAAAGGCCAAACTATGTATCCACATATAGTATTGCAGGTCTGTTTCTCTGCTCCAGTTATAATTATATTAGCTTTTTGGGATGAAGTGTATTTAATTGTGTTATAATATATATGCCATCTCACTCATGACATTTCATTTTGTATTTTACATATTGGTGAGAGTTTGTTATTCACTAACGAACTCTCTCTCTTTTCATTATTGTATAAACTGGAAAGAAACTCTTGCTATTGCTATTGGAAATACACAAAAAGTTACCTTTCATTCATCTTTGCTAAATTTTCTACACTTTCGTCGTATCAGAGAACAATTCTTCCTCTTCTGTCAGCAGATTCTCTTCTTCAGTATGACTGAAAAACAGATTGTTACTCCTCCAACTTTAGCCCAATTACCTATCACCAATATTACCAATTCTGTTTCCATTCAATTGAATGGAGGCAATTACTTGGTATGGAAACATCAAATGACCACTGTACTTGAACTCCAGCATCAAGGAAATTCATCACCAGCGATGTAGCAGCTCCGCCAACTGAGTCTTCATCAGAGATGACAGAGTGGAAAATACTGGATGGCTATGTCAGCTCATGCATCAAAGCTGCACTCCATCTTTTCGTTGCTCACGTCGCCATTGGTATCTCAAGCTCTTTGACACATTTTAATTTACAACAGGCCTTTTGCCTGAAAAACCTACCTCTGAAATCAACTTCAAATGATTTCACAAGGTGAACTTGTTGTTGATGCCTATTGTAATACTGTCAACAAAAATTCAGAATCCTTAGCTGCTATAGGTGACCCTGTTCTAGACTCAGATCTTGTCATTCATATTCTAAATGATTTCAGAGTATTTTTTTAATTACAACTGAGTACGATTTTTGACCATTCTGGAGTTGAGATCCAAGCTATTAATCCATGAACAAATGCTAACAGTCTAGAGTTGAGAATCCAACCATTTTGGAGTTGGTCATCTGTCATCCTCCATCTTACAATAGCTTTGTTTACCACATATAATATATTCCCACGCCATGCATGTAACAGTTTTAAAAACACTATATTAACTTTATTACCTGGTTTAACTCATAGTGAGTCCCTTGTGAATCATACATTTAGATATTTGGGGGATTTCCCTTGTCATTTCTTGATGTGGATATCATTACTCTATTACCTTTTATTGATGATATTAGTCGTTTCACTTGGTTATACACTCTTCATAGTCGATCCCATGCCATTCTGAAAACATATTCTCCACTAAAATAGAACATTTTCAATGTAGAGTTCGTAAATTAATTTATGGTAATTTTGAGCAATTCCTTTTAAGCTCCGACATTTCCTATAGAATTTCCTGTCCCTACTAAAAAAATGGAGTAGCCGGGCACTAAAAACGTCATTTACCTGCATTGGCACTTTTCCTTCTTTCTCAAACTCACTTACCCCATTCTTTCTGGCTTGATGCTTACTCCACTGCTGCTTTTCTTATTAACTATTTGCCTTCTCCCAATCTTTATCATAACCCTCCCTATGAACTCTTTTTTCATGCTAACCAGATTGCATCCTTCTTCGCAGCTTTTGGTTGCTTATGCTATCCAATCTTATGCTATCAAACTATCTCCATTTGTTGCTTGCATTTTTCCTTGGATATAGCTCCAATCACAAAGGTTATCTTCTCCTTCCGTACCTGTATCTCGTCCATCTCGTGTCCTCCTCTCTCTGACTCTTTACCTCATTCAACCTCCTTTTCTGCTTCATATCCTCCACATGCTCATTCTATGATTACCCAAATTCATGATCATACCTGTACGTCTAAAGCTTTCCTGATATGTTCTTTACCATGCTTTTTTATTCTTTCTATATGGAACCCACAACCTTTTCTCAGGATAGTAAGAGTCCGACATGGTGTAGTGCGATGCTTGCTGAAATTTCTGCTTTATTCTTTATTCAGACTTGGCTTTTGGTTCCACCAGCCTTACATGCTAATCTTGTAGTCTCCAAGTAGGTCAATCGGCTTGAGCTAAATACTTGATGGTACAGTCAGTCATCACAAAGCTCAATTAGTTACCAAGGGATTTTTACACACTAAAGGCATTGATTTTCTGAGATGTTCAGTCCTGATCTTCATTCGGCTGCAGTTAAGCCTATACTTCGCTATCTCAAGGGAACAAGCAAGCATGAACTTCGAACTTCTTACTTGAAAATCTTCAAATCTTTCTCTCCACGCCTATTCTGATTCTATGCATGCCTATGCTGATGCGGACTGGGGAGGCTCTCTTGATGATAGCACTGTAGCTGTTTGTACTGTAATTTTCTTCTTGGTGGGGAAATTTGATCAGATAGAGCTCTGAGAAGCAACATAAGATTGCTTGATATGCCATGTCATTCGGGATATGTGGTCTTGCATTTTGCTATTTTGTATTCTAGATACTGTTAGACTTTGTTATCCACTAACAAACTCCCTCTTCTTTCATTATTGTTAAGGCGATTAGGCAACACTTGCTCCTGCTATAAAAAATAGATAGAAAGGTTACCTTTCATTCTTCTTTGCTAAATTTCCTACACTTTCATATTGTATGTTTATTGTGTGCCACAGTTTGAAACGGATTATGTGGTGGAAAGCACCTTGACTATGAACGAAGATTTATTTGCTACCAAGTACAAGGACAAGTTAGAGCCATCTTATAAGGTACTTTGAAATTAGTCTTGGACTTTTAGCTGTGACCGGACGAAATAGCTAGTTTATAGGGGTTTTTTATGAGTTCCATTACACCAATTTTGGCTGTGCAGTTTTATTTTTAGATTGTCTTCAAATTAACAGGGACTCATTCATGAAGTGTTCACCATGGTATTGAGAGGCTTGTCTGGCACAAAACTCACTAGACCCGGAAAATTTCGTAGTTGTCAGGATGGTTATGCCGTAAAATCATCCTTAAAAGCTGAAGATGGTGTCCTTTATCCACTTGAAAAGAGCTTTTTCTTTCTCCCAAAGCCTCCTACTCTTATTTTATATGATGAGGTATTACGTTAAATTTCTGTGATCATAGTGGTACAATTTAATGCTTTTAATTTGTCTTTAGTTAACTGATTCATAAGTTCTGTCAACTTGACTTGCTTTGGTTTTTAATTTAGATTGATTATGTCGAATTTGAAAGACATGCTGCCGGAGGATCAAATATGCATTACTTTGATCTTCTTATTAGACTGAAGACAGAACAAGAACATCTTTTCCGGAACATTCAGAGAAATGAATATCATAATCTCTTCGATTTCATCAAGTCAGTATAGTTTGCATCTTTTGGAAGTTGGTTGAGGCTGTGAGAAAACAATCACTGACTTCCCCATCTAAATGATGCAGTTCAAAAGGTCTTAAGATCATGAATCTGGGCGGTGCCAAAACCACAGATGGTGTTGCAGCCGTGCTACAAGATGAGGATGATGATAATGTTGATCCGCATCTTGAGCGGATAAAGAATGAAGCTGGTGGAGATGACAGTGATGAGGAGGTAAACTTATCTTTCTTCATCTCTTTTCGGGCAGGACAGATGCAATCCCTTCTGATATTTTCGTATACAAAATGATGAAAAGGATTCATATCCAATAAACAATGTGTACTTCTGTTATCATTTTTCCTTTCAGATAGGAGCTCTTGGAAAGGCAGGACTAGTATCGCAAAATAGGGGAGGGTTTCATAGTTAGAGGAGTCCGGAGGTAGAGGTTGGGAGATAGAGTTAGTAAGTTAGATTATGGGTGTACGGTTTCTTTAAATCTGTTGTTCCTTTCTTTTATGTTAATGTTTGAGAGAAACCTGGCCTTCGATCTGTCAATCCTTTTTCTGATATTATTTCTAAATCATTAAAAATACGATGTTTTTCTCTTAACCAGTTCTTTTAAAACTTTATCATATCTGCCTTTTTCTCCTTTTGTCACACTTTTCACAAGCCGAGGGTCTCCATGGAAACAACCTCTTTAGTATTTGAGGTAGAGGTCAAGTTTGAGTACATCTTACCCTCCCCAGACTGCACCTCTGGGTGGGATGTATGGTTTGGTTTGGTTTGGTTTGTTTATTTGTTCGTCATTTTTTGGGTGTGCATATCACGTACTGAACCAGGGGGAATTATGCAGGACGAGGATTTTGTTGCTGACAAAGATGATGGAGGCTCACCTACTGATGATTCTGGGGGAGACGATTCTGATGCTAGCGGAAGTGGAGACGAAAAGGAGGCAAGTAGTGCGGTTTTGATTTCACTCCCTGTTACACATTCTAGATAAATATGTTACAACATTCATGATGAATAACACGTCCATATTCTTGATGAATATGCCATGTGTCGTGCTCTAAGCGATTCTTGGGTTTCTAATGAAACCTACCCCACACATTTTATATCGATTAAATTGATTAAAAATTATCAATATAGTAAGATTTTACATGTAAATTATTAAAAGGAAAATGTAAGGTTTATTCATTTAATGATAGGGTTTTATTTTAAAGTAAATAAAAAATTGGAGAAAATAGTAAATAATACTTCAAGCTCCCTCTTGATGATTCTTTTTTTATATATAGATATAGATATAGATTCTATTGAATCTAACATTTTATATTTCAGAAACCTGTGAAGAAGGAAATGAAGAAAGAACCTACTACTTCTAAAGCATCTTCAAGTAAGAAGAGAACCAAAGGCAGTGAAGATGATGGGCCAAAGAAGAGAAAACAGAAGAAGAAAAAAGACCCGAATGCACCAAAGAGAGCTATGAGTGGTTTTATGTTCTTCTCACAGACTGAAAGAGAGGTTGGTGCACACATTTATATATTTTGCAAGTTGTTATGTGTCCTTTTATCCTTCTCTACATATACATATACATATACATATACAGACGAAGGATCGTGTGAGAATAGGAGTTAAGGTGAGAAGCATAAGAAGGGTTCTGGACCTTGATTACTTTTAATCTCAATCCCACCCCATGAATTGCGCTTCTCACGGGAATTGATCCGGTACATCTCGGTGTATCTCATTAGCAATTAGGATTAATCCAAGAGTGGACATCCTTTCTCACTGGGACCTACATCTACATCTACATCTACATGTACATCTACATGTACATGTACATGATGAGTATACCTAAATATTCATGATTATTATTGATCATGAAGATGAAGTGAGTTCTAGAAAATCGTATCTGAGAATTTTTTTATTAAACTTCTAGAGTCGAGTTGCCCTTCCTTGGAGAAGGCTTGCTAGGTGGTCCAACAGGTGCCGATTGGGTTGCCGCTGGGTGTCCTGATCTCACCCAAATTATGTGACACGTCATTATAGTATGTTTCGAGTGTTATGGGTTAGATTAATGAACTTACCATAGCGTATTACATGTGTCATGATTTCTCATTCACATGTGTTCAACTTCAGAATGTGAAGAAAGACAACCCTGGTATTGCATTTCAAGAAATCGGGAGGGTTCTTGGTGAACGATGGAACAAGTTATCAGGTTTTGTAACCTTCACACTTTATTTTTCATACATTTATATATTTCTGAATACTGCTGAAGCCTCATTTTTGTGGAGGGTCTTAGGGTTCTAATTTGATATACACTCCCATATGATATTGAAACGGCCCCTCCACAAGGGGCGGGAGGGGGCAAACCATATGCATAAGGAGCTAACAGTGCCTATAGGATTCGAATTCGACAAGTCTTACTGAAAAAAGTTTGACATGTATAATGTGTTTTGTAGCTGGGGAGAAGGAACCATACGAAGCGAAGGCTCAGGCAGACAAGAAGCGATACCGAGATGAACTCAGCGGCTACAAACCACCACCACCACCAACAAACTCAGGCAATGGATCCGACACCGCCTAAATGTGTAACGCCTCCATTGAACCGTTTTTGTTTTCCGTTTTGAATTCATTTATGCTTTACAGATTTTGTTTTAAAAGAACAAACTTAGAGATGAATTTCAAGAACAGGAAACAACCAAAATGCTAGAAACCCAATTTTGTTTTGGTCATTTTTCACTCACATTTTTGCATCATCTTTACCAAGTTGTTACAATCATGAGTTGACTCGCCAAACAAAACTAAGTGTGAATGCTTGCAGTTGAGTTGACTCGGTAAAAACTAAACCTAACAGATCCAGTAAATACGAAAAAAAAATACTCTCTTTCCCTAGCATTTTTGCATCTTCTTTACCAAATTGTTACAATCACGAGTTGACTCACCAAACAGAACTAATGTGTGAATGCTTGCAGTTGAGTTGACTCTATCAAACCAAATTGTGAGACAAATAAAAACTAGTGAAACAAGAAAATACTATCTTCAACCCTATTTTCTCATCATCTTTACCAAGTTGTTACAAACACCACGAGTTGACTCAGCAACAAAACTTAAATGATCCAGCATAAGTGGAGCTGACATAGCAAAATCAAATCAAACGGACCCAATAAATCTCATATGTAAATCAAACGGACCCAATAAATCTCATATGTAAATCAAACGGACCCAATAAATCTCATGTAGGCTGACAAAAACTAGTGAAATAACTATGAATACCAAGAAAATTTAAACTCCCACGAGTCATGCTTCGAGTTATATAGATGCCATTGACGGTAAACAACCATCGACAGTTTGAGCCACATCTGTAATGATCCCTCATGTAATCATACGCATCGAAATGAATTTGCAACATAACGCCTGTCTCCCACCATGAGTTGCAATAAAATAATGTGGTTTTCGAAAAGTTTGGTTTAAACCTCCACTCCATCGATTGACCATATAAAAGTGTACGTCGTCCCAAATCATCATCTAATGACCGGCAATGAATAACCATCGACTTATCGTATTCAATCAAGTTGGTAACTTGTACCATAGTTTTGCCGCTTGCTACACAGATTAAGGTGGCCGTTAGCATTGCTGCCATGATCACGACCAACGAGCCACCACCTGCCGTCATGCTCCGCCTCATTATGGGTAAAAATGGATGTGATTTAACCTCTGTTATTTTGGCTTTGGTTTATACATATGCTCATTGTTCAGTAATGTGGATTTGATAAATCAATTCGTCATTAGTTTTCATAAATTCCCAGCATTACTATTTTGAAGTTTTGCCGTATTGGAATTTGGAGAGTTTCTAACACTTTTAATGAGAGTTAAATATAAACCAAAATATCAAATCATTTGTAAAGTATCTTTTGAAAGAACGTTTTGCAATAAACATGACTAGGCTGTTTGACAGTTGTTGAATGATTTGATGCAGAATGATTAAACGGTTAGAATGATTAAGAAGCTCTCATAATATATTACAAAATGAAATATAATTGTTTGATAATTGTTTACAATGAAATTTGGGAGCTTAATGGTTAAGTGGTTAAGAGAGACACATGAAATAAAATCATTCAGAAGGTTTTAGAACCATTAAGAATTTTTTTTTTGTCAAGCAAGATTAACCTCTTAACGATTTAGATGTTGCCTCTTAATGAAACTATTAAGAGGTAAATATGTAGCAGTCTGTGCATGCGCTTGTCAAAGCTAGGGGTGTAAATGATGCGAGTCGAGATCGAGTATCACTATGCTCGACTCGAACTCGAACTCGAAACCCTATTTCCAAGCTTGAACTCCACTAGAAAACTCGCGAATAGTAAAAATCAAAGCTCGACTCTAACTCAATAACTATTTCTCAAGCTCGAGCTCGAACTCGAATCAAGCTTGAACTAAGCTCAAATTAAGCTCGAACCCATTTAATGCATAACAATAATAGAAGTTCGAAATAAATTTAAAATACCAGCAAATTAAATCCGGAAAATTAAGAGTTTACAATCAAATTACAAAATAAAATCATAACTACTTGTAACTTACAACCAAAATCAAAACAAAGTTGAGAAAAATACAATATTAAAACCAAGTACTAATAAATCCATCAACAAATCAAAACGGATCTTATTTCAATTCAATTCCCGGGTTTCATGAATGGCACTTGAATGAATATTTCCTTTGTTGTTCTTCGTTCTCCTACAATAAAAACAAAAACAAATTAGCATACATGATAAAAGTAAAGATAAATAACTTAACATATTTACACATTTACCTAATTCTTCCTTTTCACTCCATGGAGTGATCTACACCAATCACCCGTGCACATCAACATTTGTATCATTTTTGGAGCAATAGAAGCTCTATAAGGATCTATTACACGATCACCAGCACTAAAAGGTTGCCTTCGAAGCCATAGTAGTGATAGGAACAGACAATATATTTGCAGCCATTCTAGATAAATTTGGAACTTGTTTGATTGTTCCTTCCACCAAACTAAGATATTAAATTTGTAGTCTTAACTAAAGAAATACCCCTCTTCTAGATACATATCAAGATTAGATTTCATACGAGTTGCCGATGTCTCCCCACTAAAATACATGGAACAATAGAAAAAGAAAACATTCTCATAAGATAAACCATTAGATCTATCATTTCCTTCATGAGTATTTGATCCAAATTCACATTCTCCACTTTCGTCCCCAATAGAAGAAGAAAACATTCTCACATATTCATCAAAAAGCTCATACATCACCTCTTTGACTTTACTGATATTATCCCAAGGTACACTTAAAGGAAACATTTTAGGCCATGCAATCTCTATAGCCCTCATTTTCAATCTAGGGTCTAACACGGTCCCTATTGACATTAGCATCTTACATTCCCCCCAATATTTATCAAAATCTCTCTTTCATGTGGTTTACCATACTTTTAACAAAATCATCATTCGATTGAGATTGTTTATCCAACATAACTTTAATTCTTTGTACTTCAGCAAGAAACAAGTTAGAAGTTGGATATTCAGAACCATATATTGAGTTAGTAGCATCTTTAAATACTTTCAATATATCAAGCAATTTTACCCCACTCCTCTTCATTATGACAAGAAGTATAATTACGATCATGCAAAGCATATCGAGGAAATACCTATCTAAACTTGATGGCACAATCAAGCATGTTGTATGTTAAATTCCAACGTGTCTTGCATTCAAGAACTGACTTTCGATGATTCATGTTGTATTGGCTTACAAGTACACCAAAACGCTTAAGATCTGCATCACTTGAGTTTAAGTAATCAACGATATCATGGACTTTCACAATAATGTTCTTCACTTGTTAAAGCCCATGTTGAACCATAATGTTAAGAATGTGGGGACAACATCAGACATGAAACAATTTTCCACCGCAAAATAAGCCACCCATTTGATTCAAAATTATCCTTCAAAATTGCAATACAAAATCATTTGCAAATGCATTGTCCACAGAAATTGTGAAAACCTAACACGAATACACAAAGATTAAGCTTTATTAGTACACAAATCATAAATAAAATAAATACACATATATGCACTAATTTATTAACCAAATTAGAACTTACTTTGTCCTCAATTTCCCACTCCCTTAGGCATGTTAAGATGCAATCAGCTACATTCGCACCTTTATGTGGAGGAGGCAAATGAACAAAGTTAATCACCCTCTTTTGAAGCTTCCAATCAAGATCCACAAAATGAGCGGTAATACCAAATATTCAATTTTTGTGGCTTTGACTTCAACGAAATGTAGTCAAACTTACTCGTTCCACTTTCTTGAACAAATTTTGCTTTTTCTTCCCAAACTCATAGACTTTGAAAGAGTCTGCTTTAATAGTAACTCGGGGTACACGGTTCCATTCAGGTATTCCCCTTTTCATCATTAAATTAAACCCTTCCTCCTCAACAATACTGAAAGGATGCTCATGCACAATGATCCAATGGGCTATCCCGTCTCGCATCTTTAACATGTAAAGTTTACCATTATGTAAAGCAATAACAAATCCATGTTGATTTGTACGAGTACTTGAATCAGATGGCAAAAAATTAATCAATTTTTGTTGTCTCACGTGTTTCGCTTTCATAACACAAGATTCCAAATGTCGGGCATATGGGTAGTGCTCTTAGATTTCAAAAGAAAAAAGGGAGTTTTTAAATACTTGCACCTTACTTTCCTTTGATTTTTGTATCATTTCAAGATCAAAAAATTCATCCCATACTTTTGATCTCTTGGTCTTTTAGAGTTATGAAAAGGGTTATTATCAGTCTCAGCATCTTTATTTGTGGTGTTAGGGGAGGAGTCACGAGGCTCTTCATTAACATCCATGGACACGTTCTTCCATTCATTTGATTCTCATTCATCTACATTCACATAAAAATCTTCATTTGCAGCACCAACCGCCGTGGAAAATACTTGTGGTCCACTAGACATCTCTAGAATTGTAAATGCATATTTAAACATAAAAACGAAGCATTAATCAGATTCCTTACAAACATAAACATTAATTAGATTCCTTACAAACATATCTAGAAATATAAATGCATGCATATTTAAATAAACTTAAACTCCAAATAGAAACAAATTATATAATCAGATTCCAACTAAAAACGAGTAGCCTTAAGAGATTCCAACTAAAGACAAGTAACCAAATTATTCAAATCCGAACTTAAAGTTAGTCAGATTCGAACTAAAAAAGTAAGAAAATTAAAAACAGAAGCATATTACATTCTAACTTGAAACGAAAAACTAAAAAAGAAGCAAACTAAGGGGCTGTTTACCAACACTTACCCGGGTAATTGCTTACTGGCAAAATTTAAAACCATCAATTACTTACCGGGTAAGATTTTAGTCTACCAAAACGGTATCGTATGCAACAACTAACCTGGTGAGTGCTAACCTTGGTAAGAATCGTCGTCGTCACTTATCGGGTAAGACTCTCAGTTCTTGTATTCGCTCTTACCGGGTAAGATTCTTGGTCCTTGTCATATTGATTCAATAAGGTAATGTGACTTGGTAAGCATTTACCCGGATAAGAGTTTGGTAAACGGCCCCTAACTTGAAACAAAAAACTAAAAACGGATTATATAATCAGATTCTAACATAAAATTAAAAATTAAAAACATTAGTATTAGTCCCTTACAATGGGCTTGTGAGAAAACGAGAGGGAGGCTGAGAGGAAATCGAGGTATGAGAAAACGTGTGAGAGGGAGGTCGTCGCTGGTGTGTGACTGTGGGAGAGGATGATCGTCGGTGCGTGAGAAATAAGTCGCCGGCGTGTGCTGTGGGAGACGAAGGTCGTCGGCATGTGATGAGGGGAGACAAAGGTCGTCGGCGTGTGAGAAATAGACCGTCGCCGGCGTATGACTGTGGGAGAGGAGGGTCGTCGGGGTGTTTGAGAAGGCTTCTAATTTGGCTCGGCCGTGGCAGGCAAAGGAGAGGGAGGCGCTCCTAGGTCTAATGTTCTAAACTTCTAAATTTTCTATTAAAACTTGAGAGTGGAGATTTTGTTCTGTGAATAATGACTTAATGAGGCGCCGAGATTTATGTTAGATTTTTTCCTTTTTTTATATAAAAAATCCAATTTATTTTTTATTTTTTTATTTTGTAAGGTATGGTTATAAATTGTGAAATATTATATATATTTTGTTACGTCACTTACTTTTAAGTTCTTAATTTTAGTTTATTATCTTATTTTATATATTAATTAATTGTTATTAATATTTTATATTGTATATTTTATAAACTATGTTATAAAATTAATTATATAAAAATTATATTCGAGTATCTCACGAGCTTATCGAGTCGAGTATCAGATAGCTCGGCTCGACTCGTTAGTATGTCGAGTCGAGCCTATTCGAGACGAGTATTGAACAAGTTTTGACCGAGTCGATCTCGAGTAGCTCGCGAGTTGTCTCGTCTCATTTATACCCCTAGTCAAAGCATCTTGATGAGAGGAGTTCTTGAAAGCTTCAATCAGATTAAATGTAGATGCATTACAATTATGTGTGACAACAGATCATCAATTAAGTTTTCTAGAAATCCGGTTTTTCATGGAAGGACCAAGAACATCAAAGTAAAATTTCACTTCTTGCGTGAGTTGGTTAAAAATAGGGAGATCAAGCTTAATTACTGTGACACGAAGGAACAAGTTGCTGTTATAATGACGAAGCCTGTGAAGCTTGAAACATTTCAAAAACTTCGTGACATGCTTGGTGTTTGAATGTTGCAGTTACAAATTGAGTCACCTGCTAGAAGCTTAGTTTGGGGGAGGAATTGTTAACGGGCAGCTGACTTGGCAGATATGATTTAGTCTTCTAATAAAGCTCCTACCTTGTAGGGTAGAACTTTTCAATTCACGTATCAGTAGTTAGTGTATTTTTCTGCTTCTTTGGCTCTTTATGTTTTATGTACGCTCTATTTAATGAGCCCTTATTTTGATCAATAAAGTATTAAAGCAGTTTGATCAACTCTGTTGTTTACTTAAAAGTTATTCCAGTTAATAGATAGATATGGGAGGTGAAGAAAACCTTGGTGAACTGAAACTCGCCAGCACCATTATGGTCGGAGATAGTACCACCAAAGAGTGGTTGTTACAGGTGGGATAATGGATTTACGGGAGTCTCACCTCTATCTAAGCAAATGTAGTTTTTATGCCGAAGATAATGGGAGAGAGATGGTTCGGTTATAGATATGGTGGCAAAGTACGTTGGTTCAGATCTGAATTTTGTGCTAGAGATAAGGGGGAGAGATGGACGTCGACCCTTTGTGCCAGAGATGAGATGCCAATGAGGGTCATTCGTTATCATTGCAGTGTGGGGGAGAATGATTTCGTCGGAGATGTTGTAAGGGCGCGGTTCATAGACAGGAGTGGAGGTAGGACGCCAGAGGAGATGAAAAATTTGTGGTTGGCGTGTTTTTCTCACCAAAGGGGAGGGGGAGGAGAAAGACAGGGAGAGTGGTCGATAGTGGTTGGGGGAACTCTTTCAAGGGTGTCCGGTGATTCATCATCCCGACGATTTTGTCCCTGTGATTGTCTACACACACACACACACACACACACACACATATATATATATATATATATATATATCAGAGATTACGTAATAGGTCTCTAAAGTTTGATGGTTTTTTGTAAAAACAAGAAAATTAAGAAAACATGTAAAATGACTAAAATACGCATTATCAAATTGGACTTAACGGTAAAAGTTAATGACCGTTAGGAGGAGTGACAAAAATCATTGAGGGGTGTCAAACGTGAAGGACAAATATGTTAAAATGAAGTTGAGGGATGAAAACTATTGAAATTGACAAACATTAAGGACCAAAAGTGAACTTTACTCTAATTTTGAAATAGAGTAGATTACAGATTTGGTCCTTTATCTTCCTTTATTATAAAAAAATCTTCCACATATGCAGTTTCTTATGGATTGGTCCCTCACACTAACCATCCAACTTGTTTGTTAACTGTGAGGGTAAATTCGTCTTTTTAGCATTTGTTTTCCTTATTTTACCATTTTTTAAACCACGGGGACAAAATATATAATTTACTCTAAATTGGTACAACAATTTCATCCCAAAATAATGTCGACCCTCCTTTCTCTCTCACAGCACACCATCGGCCACCTCTTGCCGACCACCTCCTGTCGGCACTTATCTCCTTTGCCTCACTCTCTAAATCTGTCTCCATCGCACCTATCTCTCCTATTCTCTCTCTGTGTGTAAACCTATTGTGAAATCAAACCACCACCAGATTGCATCCCATCACCACCATCAAATCTGTGAAATCAAACCCATATCTCCTTGTTAATTCATCTTCTGATGCCAATTCAAATTAGATATCCATTGTCTTGCTAGATGACTGGGCAAGAGTCCATTGCCTACAAGGAGCCCAATCTAAAAGTAATCATATCTTCTACACTGTAGTTTTCAGATTCGAATATTCACCTATTTATGTACATATACCGCCCTGAAACCAATTGTGCTAGCACTAGGCTAATCCATTAACGCTATTAGATAAATACGGGCATCCAAATTATTCTTCCTGGACTTCTGCACTAACCACTATTCTATCAAAAATATATTCTATCTTCCAAAATCTAATAGGATTCAAAAGACTTCTGCTAATCCCTTTAAGCTTCCTCACCTATCATTTTTGTTTAAATTGAACGTGTTAAAGCATTTATTTACTATAAAACATTGAAATTTTGAATTATTTCTCAAGCATTCAATACACATCCTCTCACATTTCAAGAGCTGAAACCCTCCTCCAAAAAGAGATTGATTAGGAGTCATTTATGTTATTTGTTGTCATCATTTACAAGTGATTTTTTTTCCTGTGCGAGTTTAATTCGATTATAAACAGCTTTATTGAATGCATGTGTTCAGTTGCGGAGCCACCTTATAGCCACAAGGGGCCAACGCTCCCCTTGGAACTTCTATAGATTTTGTTGTTGATATAGACTCAAAGTTTATTACCCCTCAAAACTTTGTTTATTTATACTTAACTATTATTTTTCTTCTTTTAAAATGCCAAAAAGTTTCAGAGTTTTGTTAAATAAAACAGTTGTTTCCGATATTTTTCATGTACTTTCAAAAGGTTTTACTTTTTTATATGTTTATCGAAACTTGTAAACACATCTTGTGTTTGTTTATGTAAATATAGACATAATTATATTGTTTAACTGTTCTTTTTTAACAACTATTATCTATAGACAAGTATTTATAAAAATATCTTTTAAACATTAAAATCGTAAATTTTCTTAACGTTTCCAAGCTCCTCCTACATAAACGTTTTGCCTCCACCCCTGCTTGTGTTTTAACATAAAAAAACACGTTATAGCGGATCAATGTTTTGAAAAAAAGATATCAAATTTAACCACATTAATTAAAATGTTATAATATTAATATAAAGAATAAAGATTGAGATCTCAATTCACATGAAATTTTTCCTAAGATTTGGTAGCCATGATGATGGCTTTGTTTGTTTTTGTACATATGATAAGAAATATGAAATAGTTTTCAATTTTTAAGATCTAAAACATTACATTTGCTACAAAAACTTGCATCATGACTTGCTTTGCCTAACAAACTTGGAATTTGTTCTAATCGGATTTTATCGAGATCGATCTTTATCAAGTTTTTTTTTCAGTTGGTAACTAATATAAAAGGGAAGTAAGGGTCGTTTACTAAACGTTTACTTGGTAAGTACTTACCGAGTAATTTTCCTTATCTGATGAATATGACAAGAGTTAAAAATCTTACTCGGTAAGAGCAATGATAAAGATGGAGAGTTTTACTCGGTAACTGAAGGTGACGACCCTTACCCAGATAAGTGCTTAGCGGGTAAATTGTTGCATATGCTACCATTTTAATGTATTACAATCTTACCTAGTAAAATAAATTATAATGCTAGACTCCTAACGGTAAGTGCTTACCGAATAAGCATTTAGGTAAACGGCCCCTAAGTCTATATTTAAATCATGATTGTTTAATTAAGATTTTTTTAATTAACATTACGAGTCATTCAAACCCCAGAATTACGTTCAGATCATTATGAGTTGAGTTATAATTGTTAAGTTAATAAAACAATGTAACTTTTTATATATAATAAAATATTTGATAGTTGATTAATAATTAACCAATTTTACTAAGGGTCCGTTTACCTAAACATTTACTCGGTAAATGTTTATCGGTAAAAATCAACACTATTGTTTACTTACCAAGTAAGATTTGAGTCCATCAAAACGACATTATATGTAATAAATTATTCGGTAAGCGCAAACCATGGTAATAGTCGTCATTCACTTACAGGGTAAGACTTTCGGTCCTTGATTTTGCTCTTACCGGGTAAGATTCTTGGTTCTTGTCATATTCATCCGATAAGTTAATATGATTTGGTAAATATTTATTCAGGTAAGCATTTGATAAACGACCCTAACTAATATTTATTTATTTTCTGATATTATTTTGAGTTTGTATCAAAGACGTTCCCCCTGAAGTCTGAACTAGGGCCATATATATACTACTCATGGTGACAGTCTCATTGAAAACTTCCATCGCCAAATTAGAGTTTGGTGAGAGAGGGAGAGAGAGAATGGAAGCTACATACTTGGTGGTCATGATGACACTACTCGCCGGCGTCGTCATCTCCTGCCCTCCGTCGGACCGGGGAGCATTGTTGGCTTTCAAGTCCGCCCTGACCGACCCTTACTTGGGCATTTTTAACACCTGGACCGGCTCCGACTGCTGCACCGGCTGGTACGGTATCAGCTGCGATCCAACTGAAGGCCGGGTCAATGACATTATCCTACGTGGCGAGTCGGAACACACGTTGTTTGCGGTAGCCGGCCGAACCGGTTTCATGTCCGGTTCACTTTCACCTTCCCTGTGTTCGCTTGACCGGCTCACTACTCTAATCGTCGCAGACTGGAAGGGTATATCCGGCGAGATTCCGGCGTGTATCACTTCACTCCCTCGCCTCCGCATCCTAGACCTCGTCGGAAACCAGATCACCGGCGAAATCCCCGTTGACATTGGAAATCTCGGAAAACTCACTGTTCTCAATGTTGCTGATAACAACATCACTGGCAATATACCTCAATCAATCGTAAGCCTCGGGAATCTCATGCATCTGGACCTCAGAAACAACCGAATCTCCGGTGAAATTCCGGCGAATCTCGGCAAGCTCTCGATGATGAGCAGAATTTTACTGAAACAAAACGAACTTACCGGAAGTATCCCGACTTCGATCACCAGCATCTACCGTCTGGCTGACTTAGATCTGTCAATGAATCAAATCTCTGGTTCAATTCCTGCTCAACTAGGATCAATGCCGGTTCTTTCTACACTCAACTTAGACAGCAACCAACTCTCTGGGGAGATTCCGGGATGTCTACTAAGAAGCAATGGTTTAAACATAATGAATCTAAGCCATAACGCTCTCGAAGGCTACTTGCCGGATGTTTTTAGTTCGACAACGTACTTCTCCATGCTAGATTTATCGTTCAACGAATTGAAAGGGTCTATACCTGCATCTTTAGCTTTTGCAAGGTATATCGGACATCTGGACCTGAGCAACAACCACCTCTGTGGCGAAATTCCGGTGGGATTCCCGTTCGATCACTTAGAAGCGTCGTCGTTCTCCGACAATGATTGCCTCTGCGGTGCGCCTCTCATGCGAGTTTGTTAACGGCGTCGTTTGAGGTTCGGTTTGGTTGATCACGGTTTGTGTATTGGCATTTGGAAACCCGCGTATATCAATAGATTTAACCCAATAGGACATAAATAAAAGGAAATTACAGTTTCACCCTTGTGTATGTTCTTGTCCTCTCATTAGTTATAAAAATTAATTTATTACGAAATGGGTATTTTTCTTTGATGTTGTTTGAGTTGGTTTTGTTAAGTGAAATCATGTCTCTTTTATTCTAGCCAACTAATTAATATATTGTGGCATGGCAAATCTAGCAAAGATCTTCCTTGTGTTCGTTTCGGCTCCTGAACAAAAACGGGAAATAGAGGTGTTAACCATTCGATTATTTTAACAAGATATCTGAGCTCGTTTATTTCGAGCTAAAGCCTAATGATTTTTGAGTTAGAGCTTGATGATTCTTGAGTACGAGTTGATCTTGTATACAAAATAAAGTTCGTTTAACTTACATATATATTCAAATTTATAACACCAATGTTCAGCTGGGGGTTGAAATTTGATTAAAATCTTTGAGCTGAGTTGAACCAAGCTATAGAAGGATACGCTTTTTCAAGGCCAACATGTTCATATGTTCATAAATCATACCATCAAAATATAAAAATTTCAAGCTTGATTGAATCGACCTTGAGTTTGCTTCCGTGAACGAGCTTATAAAGCTTCAATTTTATGTAACAATGTATAGTTGCTTGAGCTCGAACATCGAAATGTTATTCGAGCTTAAGCACTATTGTGAAAGAATTTGTTCAAGTGAGTTGAGCTCAAACATGATATTATTTTCTCGAGTCAAACTCGAACAAACTGCTACTCGATTTGTTTCGACTCGTTGACACCCCTAGTTGTAACTCGCCCATGGTGGGGTAGTTGAAGTCGACTTTCGTTTGGTTGATGTTGAAGTTCATGATTGGCTTATAAGCCAGTCGAATAAAATGATGCGATTGAGTTGTTAAACTTGTCGCTTCGATTTCCAAGCCTTCTCAAGGTCCAATGTTCTTGTCATTAAATCAGTCTTTTAGTATGATGCATATTTGAACTGGTTCCGGATAAAAATAACGTTTTTTTTTGCATTTATGAACATGTCGTCAATAAAACAACTTCCCGAAACTACGATACTAGTTTGGATAGTTAAAGCATCCCGAGTCATTGTGGCTAAAAACTCAAAAGGGTCCATCTTGTCCCTATATGTCTTGCCATCACTTTAAAATATCGACTATCGTTTTTAATATATTTGTATCAACATATTAGTAATTCGACTAAAATTGATGATGATCTTGAACGTTTACTGTATGTACAACTTACAAAAATATTAGATTTTTTAACATTTGATGATTGCGAAACGAAACTCTATGTACCACTAATTTCTTCTCGAGCCGAATATCCGTCTTCATATATAATAAATAATTCTTTAAAGATATTTTAAAATATATCAAAACTACGTTTATATCTTTGGAGAATACCATTTAAAGCTAATAAAGTTATGTCAGTAGTAAAAAAAATAAATATGTGATAATGATAACGTTGTTTCATATAAAACACTTAATATATCTTGTGATGCTACTAATTCATGTCAACTGTATAAAGTATCAAATTTTTATTCTATCTTCAACGTGTTTTTTATAATACTCGGTTAGACGAAAGATCGTGTGAGAATGAAAGTTATGGTGAGAATCGTAAGAAGAGATCTGAACCATTGATCATTTTTAATCTCATGCCCACGTATAATTTGCGTTTTATAAAGAAATTGATCTGGTGCATCTTATTAATGCTGACACTCAATTCAATTATGATTGATTCAAGGGTGGAGATCTTTTCTTACACTTCTCACTGAAAGCTAACCCTATTAAGGTAATAGCTCATTTTGTTTTATGTTTCAGCTTGGATTTTGAGCATTCTTTCATCATAAAACAAAAACATTATCCATCTTTTCGAAGAGGGTCATTTATTAAATGTTTAACGGTAAAAATCAACCTCCTTATTAACCTTATCAGTAACATTTTTCAATCATCAAAATTGATTGTTGGTAAGCTTACCTGTTACGGGTTTATCAAGTAAGATCATTCTCATTCACTTACCGGGTAAGACTCTCTAATCCCTATGTAAGTAAGATTCTCAGCTTTATCATATTCAAACAATAAAATAAGTAATATCTGTTATTTGGTAAACGCATATCTGACAATCCCTAAAGCAACTTTATAAGAGTAACAATATGGCAACAAGGTATATGAAATAGTATACCATCACAAATCAAATTTAAAGCATGTTTAACCTAAACATAGCATTATTTGCTATTATTATCCATGTTTTAAATTATACACGGTTAAAATCCTCATTTTTTTTTTATTAACCTGGATATCCAACCCGCTATGCAAGCCAACTAATCTCAGGACGACCACCTGCTTTGTTGATAGCATGAAATCACCGCATTTGAACCTTCGTGGCCACAAAGGGATTTTTATTCCTCCTTGGATTTGAACCTGTGACCTCCAGATATTTTTAACTTTTTGAGTCAAGCTCAAACCAATCAAGCACCACCGTTTTGGTTGGTTGAAATCCTCATTAACTTGTGAACCGTAGTATTTGTTTTAAAAATTTCTGTAAATTACTATGTATTTGTGTAAAAAATTTAAATGCTTTACATTTTATAGCAGAACGACTTACCTGATAAAATTACGGTTGCAATGCTTTTTTAAATAAGTTGAAACTTGAAAACGTTTTTTGATGTTGAAATAGTTGAAAGGAAAGCGTTCGTGAATCACCAACTTCATGCATAATTCTGGTGTTAAATTGTTGTCTGCATCGGATAATTTATACATCGTTTGTTCATTGTTGTTCTGATACAATACCGCCATTTCTTCGGAGACAAAAACCCTAAAAATATATCGTAATATTAGTTATAAAAATTATTATGAATAATAAAAATTACGATATTGAATTAGAGATTAAAGTACTTACGTTCCAATGACGACTTAATGATGAGTTTCCTCTCGACGTCATCAACTTGCTGCATCTATGGCATCGGGCATATAAGATGCAATCTTTTCGAACAAGATCAAAATGTTTCCAAATTGGTGCCTTACGGTTTGATTTGTCCAGAGTCTCGATATTAGAAGATCGAGCAATATCCTCGTGCAAAGAGCTTGAACCGACATTTTTTGAGACGATAAAAGTATATTACAAAATATTACGAGACAAACTAAGCAGAGAAAATTAAAGAGTATTAGGGGCTGTTTACCAAACACTTATCCATAGGTGCCTACCGGTAAAATTTAACACTATTATTTACTTACCGTGTAAGATTTTAGTCTACTAAAACGACATCGTATGCAACAATTTACCAGGTAAGCGCTTACCATCACTTACCGGGTAAGACTATTGGTCTTTGTCTCGCTCTTACCGGGTAAGATTCTTAGTCCTTACCATATTAATCCGGTGAGGTAGTGTGATTTTGGTAAGCGCTTACCTGAATAAGTGTTTGATAAGCAGTCCCTTACTGTGTTTTATAATGAAACTACCAAAACTAGACCCACTTATTTATACTCGAGAAAATTGAATTTCCAAAATATCGTCAGTCGGGTTAATTTGGTAATTTAGAAAATGGGAAGTGAAAATTTTAAACTACAAGGAGGGAAAATGAAAAACTAAAAGTGGCAAGGGGAAAATTTGAGATTTGACCGTTGGAGGGGGGATTTGAGAAGAAAGAAAATATTATTTAAACGGGAACGGGAACGGGAACGAGGATACAACCATTAGATTGGGTCAGGGGCTCCGGTCTAGTCAGATCTGATCTTTATTCGGTCCATGTAAACTCGTTTTTACTACAGGGGTAGTTTTGTCTTTTCAAAAATATAGGATGAAATGGAATTCAATTCCCGCTCCCTTACAATAGAAAGTAAAATCCATGAACGGCTGAATATGTGTAATTCAATTCAATTCCATATGTAGGGATGGAATTTGGTCAAGGTGGTAACCAAACACCACCACACCCTTAGGTGAAAATTGAACCCACAAAAACCCGAGAAATCAGATTCCCCCACAAGAAATACACCACGATAGATAGATGAATCTTCTCAGCTTTCATCAAAGTGTTCATATGTCTAATAAACGAATTCTGGGGCCAAATGTACCTCCGATTGATCTTGTAATGCAGAATGATGTAATTGGAGGGTTTTCGGGAAGCAAAAAAACAGAGACAACGATGGTGACAGAAATGAAGAGCTAGAAGCTAAGCAGGGAAGAAGATAGTACGGATAGATAGGCAAAGGGAAATTAAGTCTTTATGCTTGTAATTTAGTTGGTTGTAGATTAGTTGACAGTTGATAACTGTTAGTTAACAGTAGTTAAGTTTCCGTTAGTTGTTAACGAAAGTCAGGTGGAGTCTTAAACCTCAATTAGAAGACGCCTGAGGAATGAAAAGAGCATTAAAGAAAGACATTATGGAGAGAGAGATAGAAGAGGTTAATATAGGGGAAGAAGATGGATGACTAACAAAATAATCGGGGTAAAATGATCAAAAATACCATCTTGTGAACGGGTGCGTTACATTATTTAACAGATAAGAGATGGACGGCCTTAGTGGCAGACACCAACACCGTAACAAAATGCATCGATCAGGGACAAATTTGTAATAAATGAAGTCGAGGCAGGAGAACCAAAAAAATGACCATTTTACTCTAAATTAAAACATAAGATAATATTTTGATGTACAATGTAAATTTGAGAAAGTTTAAACCGGCATTCAAATATTTATTTTAATGAATTATCCAAATTTTCCGACTCCACTCCTGTGTACACAAATACAAATGTCTAGATATGCTTTTAAACACATAGAGGATGTATGTTAGAAAGAAACTAATCAACATAAATTTTATATACACGGTTGGGTTCCATTTAGAACTCCCATTTTTGCGAGAACCATGGGAATCCATCTGGCAACCATCAGTTGCTTTTGATCCATCGACGATGATCACACGTGTTTTTGTGAAGGAGGGGCAATTTGGTCTTTTGGTTTTCCACATCTAGGCATGCGTGGATCGGTCTTGTGAAGGTATGGTAAATTATGCTAAGATATGTTGAACATTTTTAAGGTATTTTATCGTATGATAGGTTATGTTTAACATTTTCATGTTAGGGTGAGTTAATGTCATGTTAACTTGTCATTTTCATGTTAATGTATGCTAACATTTTCAAGTTAAATGTATGTAAAGTGTCAGTGTGTTTAGCATGTGAACATTCGACCTCCTTTACAGCCATGTCACTTGAACTTTACGTTTATTACGAAACAGCCACCGCATTTTTGTAAGCCTTTCAATCAAAAAAAATTTCTTCCAAAGGCTTGGGGAGGTTCTCACAAAAGGTAAAATTTTCACACGCTCCTAACTCTGTCTATATACACACATACAGACATAAATACGCACATAAAGTATGTATGTTAGGCAAGAAATGAATCAAGATAAATTTTGAAAGAAAGTAAGGAATTTGAATGTTGACAATGCGAAAACTGAAAATCCAAAAGATCCATCAAAAATTCATGCTAGAAAAGCCTCGAAATGCAAAGAATAATCGACCTCGCATCTGCTATGCATGCTGATGTATGTGAGTCTGATAAATTTTGCTACATGTAATTATCAACACAATGTTCTAACTCTAATAAAGCAAAGTTGAAGAAAATCCCAATTTTGGAAAAATGAAAATGACAAGGATGACTAAGTTCCTAAAAGTTCTGAAAGGAGTCATAGCATCTGTGGTTTGAATCAGTAACCTTCAGATTGAATAGAATAAGTTCAATCTGATCTCATTATCAAATATGGCCAATCTACGATTCAAGAGGCGACTCACATTTCAGATTCAAATCCAATATTCCAAAAACCTTCAGGAGTTGAGGGAGGTGCAAACCTGTATCGATGCCTGGAAACACCCTCGTGGTGCTCACAACGTAGATTCTGCTTATTGTTGTCCCCACTGCCATCAGGAAGAACAGCATCATAGAATTTTTTGCACTGCTTGCATTCAACTCCCTTCAGATTAGCCCTCTCGGCTTTCTTTCTTACTGGTTCAACATACTTAAAACTTTTCTTCTCGGACCTTCGTAGACCACCGTCAGCAGTGCTTAAATCCTGTGTTTCATCATCAGAGCTGTCGAAATTCATGTCTTTAGGAACCGTACCTGGAAGATGATGAATCTCTTCTTCCTTTGCACCTTTTTTCAAGTCTTCTTTGATGTTCTCCAATGGAGTATCGAGAAAATCATCATGTAGGTCTGCTCCATTTCTGTTTTTTGTAGGCCTCATGTCTCTCCAATGAGAAATGGGACGTTTTGTTCCTGACCGCAAGGTTGTCTTTTGGTTGCTGTCAGGTTGAGCTACAAGAGGGGAACCCGAGCTTGATCCATGTATCAATCTAATTTCTTTGTTGTCTTCGGAGTTTTGTTGGTTTATGTTCTGGTTAGTTGTTTCCCAATCAGCCATTGGCGTATTCAGAGACTTCCCACCCACGTCTGTAATGACAGATGAGAAGAGACGTTAGCTATTGATAAATGCACAAGGAAAACATTTACATGGTAACAATATTGCAGACATAATAGTAACCATATTGCAGACATAAAGAAAAACCTTTAAATAGTAATACACAGAACATAAAGAAAAATAAACAGTTCATTCAAAAGCTAAAACAAAATAATTGAGAACGAAAATATTTCAAAAATAAAGGGTACAAGAACACTATGAATAACTTACAGACTTGACCCAATCCAGTTAGCAAGGTAATGGTTCAACAAGCCAGGGTGGGGCAGGTTTATTAAACATTGTGCATATGCATTCTCCAAAAAAGGGTCAGACTTGTTTTCAAATTGCACATTAGTGGTCTCATTACCACCAAAGAACTATTATCATCCCATGAATCTTGCAATGTTTGACTTAACACATGTTGTAGGAAAAGTATTTGGCTATTACAGAAATGTCCAGAAAAGCTTTTGATAATAACAAAAATATGAGAATATTGAGGACAAGACAATGAACATATGCAATTTTAGGTTAACTTTTCCAGAAAAGGAATCTTGCAATCCTTATGGAACATCGTTGCAACCTTCATGAGACGGGGAAAATTAGTAAGGGTCATTTATCAAAAAGATAAATATCGGATAAGTCATTCACCAATTTAAAAATGTGTTATAACTTCAGCCAATCCAACGAATATATTAATCTCCGTTCTCCAATTAAAGAAGCATTCCAGCATGACACACATGTAATCCTACATCAAAAGGTTTTTTAGTGAATTTTGAAAAACAAATATTTGTCAAATTGTTCTGTCATTGTCATTTGTCGAATTGTCATATTTGGTTTGATAATATGTATGTGTTTTTGGCAATTAACCTAATTAAGAACATAATGAGGACAAAACCAAAAAAAGAAAAAAATTAAGAAGGATTACCAGGTGAATTCAATATATTCTGATCATGGACTAACGGGTCTTTATTAACTTTTGTGCTGGTGCTGTCAAGCATATTCTCTTGAGTTAGGCCTGACTTTGAGCATAAATAGTTGTACTGAGATTTGAGCTTCTTATAAGCATCTATGACTTCCCTTCTTTTCTGCTTCTCCATCATTATCTCACTGTTCTTGCCTTCAATTTGCTGAAGCAATTTCCCATGCAATTCCATTCCTTCAGTTGACTCGTTGCTCCTCTCTCTGAGATTCACTTGAAGCTTATCAACTTCCTCCTCCAAGCCTTTTAATTTGACAATAAGCAATTTGTTCTCCTTTTGAAGCTCTTCCATGTCATGTCTGGTCTTCATCAACTCTGAATTGTTGGAACCATTCTGTTCGATCAGCTGTTGTTGCCTTTTACAATTATCCTCCTGAATTCGTAGTTGATCTGTAAGTACTCTATTCTCCATTTCACAGTTATCTAGAAGCTGTCTAGTCTTCAAAATCTCCAAGGCTTGTGTTTTCAATTTTATGAGCAATGTTTCTTGAAACTCCTTTTTTGTATGTACTTCCTTAGTCTTTTCTCTAAGTTCCTCCTGCATCTCATCAAAATTTTTCTCTAAAGTGTGAAGCTTCGTGAAAAGGTTATTCATTTTATCATCTTTATCTTTTAATTGTTGGTCTTTCTGCTCTATGAGCAAGACCTTTGACTGAACTAACTGGAGTAGCTTACAATTTGATTCCTCTTTCTCTTCGATTATCATATACTTGCTTCTCAGCTTCAATTTTAACTCCTCGACCTCAAGATCATGTACATGAGTTTTCTCTCGAAGCAAGCTATTTTCCTCTTCAAGCTCCTTCAGTCTCTTTTCATTGTCATATACCATGGAGGCCTTTGAATCAAGAAATTCACGTAAGGTCTGTTGTAATTCTCTTTTCTCAGCTACCTCTTTAGTCTTTCTTTTCAGCTCCTCCTCAATATCATTAGCATGCTTGAATGGTGGTCTTGGAAATTTCTTTACCTTGCTGTTCTCCATCTTTAGAACCTGGTTTTCTTCAAAAACCTTCTGCTTTTCAGATTGGAGTGTTTTCACTTGAACCATCAAATCATTTTCCTTCTTCCTCCATTCATCTTCTGCAGCCTTCTTTGCTTCAGAATATATCTTTTTCAATTTTGATTGAAAATCTGGAAATAATTGCTTGCAGAACAGATATTCTATCTGAGAAACACTTTCTTTTGTTTCCTGGATTGTGGCAGCCAATAAAGTACTAAGTCCTGATATATACTCTGTATCTGTACCATCAACATGATAAGCTAGTTCTGGAGACGTTCGCGGATCCTCTTCCATCTGTGGATGTCATAAGAACAATGTAAATATGTGCAAGTTACATATATGACCTGGATAAATGGCTTTTGGTGACTACTTTGTTGGTAAAACATTCAAGTAGTTGTGAAAAAAAAAACAATAACAGAGTTCTCCATAGATCAGATAATTTTTTTTGTATTTGCACCATACTAAGAACTGTAATATATATGCCAACACATATAAGCTTGAAAAGTGCTTCCTAGTGTGACAACTCACAAACCGACTTTCCTAATAACCAAATATACAAGAATTTACCCACCTGCTAACACTGGTATTACCAATTTCCCTGTTAGCAATATTACATCCTTAGAACATTACCCCTCAAGCTGGATGTTGATTAGTCCTCATGCAGTCACAATAACTAATCCTACAGAAATATTTGATTCCTCTTTCATGAACACAAGAAGTAGATAGGAGGAATTGTAACTGAACAGGAGAAGCAAAAACTCAATAAGAAACTCGGCCTACTGGTGTAACAAGTTACCCAGCAGAAGAAAGTCTATGCCATGACAAATAAACAGATTGCTTGTCAAGCTTCCATTACTAGTCACATCAGAACTTCTCAATGAAGCAACATGACTATTGTACTTAATAACTATGTGCAAGAAATGAGGAACATCATCCGTCTGGTACTTAATTACTAAGTGACGTATCTAAAAAGGTACATCAAGTCTCTATATACTTGGTTGATGTTTCAGATCTGATTCTTCACCTTTTGTATAATACTTGCATATTTCCAAAGCTCATTCACTCTCTGTTATTTTCTACACCTCAGACTCGTATTTGGTTCTCTAGAAGGCATGTGTTTTTCTTGATCCGCAAATTGACCTTTTAGCAATATTAAAAAAAATATTAACCAGTTCCCAGAAATCAACTAGCTTGTATGGAAAAGCTAGCACGTTAGGTAACAGATTTCATCAGGTGGCCTAAATTTGAATGCTACTTGTGTGGATGTAACACCAAATAATCATTTTGGGGTTGTGGGTCTACTTCAGTACCATAGCTCTCTACTTTGGTCACATTCATTTGTCAGTAAATATGCAACAACAAAAAATCAGGACTACAACTATGTTATTAACCTTTCCTTCCCCCAGTGGGCTTGACTTCGACACCCTTCTCAACAAATTTTGCTAAATGCAGAGCTGTTTCCTCCTGCCTGACACAAATATACATGAGAAACATGTAAAACAAAAATTACTTATACACCAAGTGCAATAGTAGCTGAAAGTCCAGAACACAAAGGTTTTGTGTTCTCATGCAATGCAATGCGCTGCTCCTAATGGACTTCTAGGATCAAAGATAGATTTAAACTTTAGATGGTGTGCTAAATGCTCTCGTCAATAACGATAAATGTAAGGGAGGTTGATCAAGCTCATTCTAGAATGCTGGTCTTACTAGCATAAAGTATGTAATCCAATCTTCCTTTTTTATGGAATTTTATTATCTTAAGATGAATTAGGAGTATATCCTTAGTATTTTATTCCAGTTGAAAGGGGATCGTTGAAGAGTTAGTGAGGTTGAGAGACGAAGAGATAGGTACCATAGTGAACAGTTGAATCTCAATAAACTGATATTTATTGAATCTGAAGTCCAACACTAAATTAAGCCCGCAAACATCAAGAGAAAAAATGTGTCAAAACAGATTATCAGTACTCCTGTGCCTTACGCAATTACAGCCTTCACAAATTTGACAACTTATAAACACATCCAAACATATAAATCAACTTAACATACCACTAAATAAGGTTGAAAAGACATCAAAAACTTGATATTCTAAAATAATTACTGTTTCAATATCTCTAACATGGTTGAAACTAACCACGGTGAAACAAGAAAAATGTCCTTAAATTCCTCATTGATCATACATCCACCAGGTCATTGAATATTAAAATCGTATTAAACCCAAGAAACATCAGAAGCGACATACATACTAAATTCTATTAGGTGAAGAATAGTTATACAAATGATAAGTTCAGATTAGACCTAAATTAAGACATTAAGACCTGAATTGAAATTTTACTTGGATAAATTTCAAGCTTCCATTTTAGTTAACAGTAGCGATTTCTCTAAGATCAACCTCCTTACCCCCCAAGAATTGAAATGTGGAGGTAGCTTCACCTTTATCTGCTGGCCTATAATAGTTAGTTCCGCTTTTCGTAACTAGGACCATATGTGTGTCAGTGTGTGCATTTGCTTTTGTTGATAATGAAAGCTAGTTGAGATTAGAGTTGGTACTTACGGTTGATCGGTGACCGGAGGAGCAGCAGAGGCAAGATCTCCGGCAGCCGGAGTATGCTAAGGAAGTGAAAGATGAGAGGGAAATGTTCGATTGTAGGTGTGTGATAGGAGGGAATATTGAAAAATGTAAATGGAAACGGATAATTACGAATATGCCCTTCCCTTCCCAATAATTGATTACAATTCAACGGTATGGGATGGGTTTTGTAATCCCTCACCCGGTTTTTAATAATAGCCTTCGGCCCTGGCTCGGACCCTAATGGGTACAGGGATTAACATCTTGTTCTCGATCAAATTCCGGTCATCTGACTCCTAACCCTATAATTGGGAATTTGTGAAAAGTCTTAGAGTATAATGGTACTTGATGGTAGATATGGCTCCTTTGATTCTTGTATCATCGGTGATATTTTGATTGTCGTCCAAATGTACATTCGAAGAAGCTCTAACGAACACCTTTCCCTTGAGTTGGGTAGGAGAGAGATCTCTGACACTCGATTAACGAGCTAAACCCTATAACATCAATATTCAACTCGCCTCGTTCGAGAGCTCGATTAAATTTTTCGAGTTGAATCGAACCATTCGATCATTAACTTCTCCATCCAAACATGTTTGTATTTTCATAAATCATACAACCCAACAATAAAATTATCAAGATTGAACCAATAAGAGAGTTAATTTATTTCGAGTTCAAACATATAAACGAGCTTATAAAGCTGGAATTTTAGGTATTGCTTTTTCAAGTCAAACTCGAACTATTTACTACTCGACTCGGCTCGTTTCAACCCCTGAATTAGAAAGTTTATGTTCCGCCACTACGAATAAGCTTATGTTCCGCCACTACGAATAATCACAAAAATACCAAAACAATCCCTCCTTAAATTGAATTTTTTCACTTATTCCTCATCCAAAGAATATTACAATTTTCAACCTTTTTTATGGCATTAGAGACAAACACCCCTGAAGTTTTATGGGTTGAGTTCCGGTGAAAATAAGGGTTAAAGTGAAAAGTATAAGAAGAGAGTTTTTCTATTGGATGCACATTAGAATGAGATAGATCGAGATGCACCATATCAATCCCCGTATCAAGCACGATTTATAGGTGAATTCGAGATTAAAGGTTATCAAGGGTTCAGATTCCTTCTTATGCTTCTCAGCTTAACTCTCCGTTTTACACTGAAGTTTTATATATACATATTTTTGAATGAATCATTCAAAATGGAAGGTTACATGATTTATATACTTCATTATGCTATGAGGTTTTTGAAACAGTTTGAAAACCATTTTCTGAAGGCAATGGATTCCTTATATGATACTAGAAGGGTATTCGTATAATGCAGCGAAATAAATCTTCATTTTAATGTTTAGTTTTTATTATTTGTCTTTATCGATATAATACGATTTTATATGATTTTGAGAAAACGATAATGTTTTTATTTTTGAATGAAATATAAATTTGAAGATAGTATAAAGATTTGAAAAAAAAAATCGATATTAGTATCAAATTAACTATTTAATTCAATTTTTTATTATAATTTAATTTAGGTCTAATAACAGAGTAATTTATTTTTATTTTAATAATATAATTTATATTAAAAATAATAATTAAACATTGTGGTAGAAACTCAATGATTATCTTAATTATATTTTAGATTTTCTATATTTAAAATAGATGTTTATCCTATATTGGATTATGTTTATCTGCAGTTAGTTACACGAATTTAAATTGGAGTTTTAATAAGTTGTATTTATGCAAAATCACTTGTAATCTTGAATTTTAAGTAATATGCATCAATAAAAAGTATTTCATGCATAAAAATTGGTTTTTAAGAATTTTTATCAAATGTTTTATAATATAGTATATGTATTGGGGATTAACAATGGGAATTTGATTTGTGATTTTGTCTATTGGACTTTGTTTTTATTTAGACTCTAACGTATATGCATGTTTTTTTAATAAGGAAAAGTAATCGTTTTCATTTTGGATGATTAAGTCTTAAAACTTTTTTTAATGAATACATCATTGAGTTTGCATATTTTGAATGGTTAAGTCCCTAAACATTTTTTTGAAGAAACAAACTTTTAAAAATTAGTTAAATACATCATTTTAACCCAAAAAAGCTACATATAACTAGCTAAGAATGTTTAAAAAAAATCTAAATTAATTTCATCATTCTCAAAACCTACGTCATTCAAACCCCTCACACCCAATGGCTTGGCTCCCCTCGCCGCTCTATCGTCGTCTATTCTCCAAAATCCAAATCATACATCATTGTCATTGGCCCGCCGCTCTATCGTCGTCTATTCTCCAAAATCCAAATCATACATCATTGTCATTGGTCTGCCGCCCGCCATTGGTCTCCCTTTATTTGATCCGGTTTTTCTTTAAATTCTCCTTGTTTTATAACAATTTATTGAAGTATGTATAGACAAATCAAAAAAGAAGGGTATCCGAAAACAAAAAAAAAAAAAACCACTAAAAAGGAGGGAGATTCATGGCAAGGACAAATCTACAACGGTGATGGAGAGCGGACTACGATGGGTGGCAAGGGGAGCGATGGCATTAAGTGTAGTGAGGAGTGTCACTGGTCTAGGATTTAGGAATGGTAAAACTATTTTAGATTTTTTTTTTTTTACTTTAAAGCCTTCTTAACCGATTACATGTAGCTTTTTGGGTTTAAAAAATGTAAGTAACTAGTTTCTAGAAGTTCAATGGTACATTTATTTGAAAAAAATATTTAAAAACTTAATCATTCAATTTGAGCAAATTCGTTCGGTTTTCTAAACTTTTCCATTTTGAATATTAGAAATTGGTTTACATTTTTCATATCAAAAGTTGGTTGCAGGATATAACCACATGGTGAAGACAAGAAAGTTCAAGAAAATATGGTAAATTTTTTTTGGTGCAAGTATGTGAGATTTAATTATAAATAATTAATTATACATGTTCAATTTCTGATATTTTGATGATTATAAACATCTGAATTGTATTATAATCTAATCAATTTACTTGACGTGTATAACGAGAATATTTTAAGAATAAAATAAAAAAAATTCATACAAAACGTCGTCTCGGAAAACGTGACACATTGTCTTGGGATCTGTGCTAATTTGAGAATTTCCAGAATTCATTGGATAGATGTGTTATAAATTCGGGGTTTCGATTGCTTGGATTCCACTGAAAATCGTGTAACACTTTCAGATTTAAGTATTTTGATGGTACAATCGAAATTTCAATTGGATAAAATAAGTGGTTTTCGAACAACGAATCGATTGTTACAAAACTGTGTACCTCTCTAAAATCAAAATGACCAATTTGAAATTGACTATGCGAAAACCGTCAAAAGAGCAGTTTTTTGAACCCTAAACCGGGTTTAAAAAACCGGGTATTAAATTTAAAATTTGGATTTTTGAAACATTTTTCACAAAGTAATATTACCTAGCCAGGGGCTCTGAACCTTGGACCCCCGTCGTTTAGGGGCTTCGCTCTTAAATCAAAATAAACTCAAACAGGTGTGCAATCCACACATTCCTTACTTGTTCGATATTTATCATGATTACATTGGTAAACAAATTAATCCCATTACACTAAAATGATATTAGTGATACAAATCACCAACAAGATGCCGATTCGATATCCGAGATTAAGTTTGAATAAGACATGAAGATACAACCATTGTCATCCGAATTTCAGTTGGATCTCGAAATTGGATGAATATAACGTTTTCTAAAATGATTTTTCATAAACTTTGTTTTTTTTATTATAAAATAGTATATTGAATTTATAAAAAAATGGATTTTCTATAACATACGTTCTTTTAAGAAAAATGAGACAAACTTTTATAAAATAATTTTTTTGTCGGATTTGTTAAAATCAAGAAGTTGACTTATTAAATAATATTTTTTAAATCACGAACATCTTTATCTCCCTCTCGTCTCGACACACCTACTTAAAACTCTATTGTAATATTTCTTCACCGCACTGGTCTCCAAAAATCTAATTTTATATATTCATTTTTGTTTGTCTCCGGTTACCTCTTCCTATGCTCGACGACAATCATCAGATTTATCTTATCAAAAGCATGAAGTATATGAGTAAAATAATCAACCATGTTTTCTTTGATTTCATATTCGTCCAAGAGAGATATACGTACCACTTGATCTTCCATTTACCATTCTCGTTTGTAAGTGGTATGAGTGACAATTCACTAACCCATAACTTGAAAGTCGGGAGTGTTCGTCTTTGTAGACATTTGTGTATACAATGGTTTTTGTTCTTCATTTGAAAAAGAACACTTAAAATGAATCGGCTCAAGAAGGTCTCTCGGTGTGGAAGAAGTCAAGTTCGAGTGAACCACGTCACATCATTTGTGAAGTTTCTCTAACCCTTATCTACATGTCAAGTTTGTATTTGTGTTTGTGTTTGTGTTGTTGGTTATATTTGATCTGCACTATTATATTCAAACGCATTCCGCATTAAGTTTTGTTTAAACATAAAATTTGTAAAAACCGACATTGAAAGTGCTAAGAGACCTTCCCCCTAGGTTGCACTTACAATAGACATTTAAGAAGATTACACTGACTTAAGGTTTGTTTAAGGTTGCACTTATCTATCCACGGGATTTCCTAAATCATAACGGAAAAGCACACCACAACATTTCAAAACTCAACTTCGAATGATCCATCTATTGATCCATTCAAATAGAGAATAAATGGATTCATATAAAGTGACATTTTCTTGGGGGAGGGGGGGCGGGAAGGGGGCAATTATGCCCGTACTGGATACTGCTTTCAAAATAAATATGATAAAGGAAGAAAACGTTGATAATGCAATTCCAAAAATGTTATAAGACTTTAGTCAATTATCTTGACAAGTGGAGATTTGTATAAAAGGTGATGAGGATATATGTTATAGTAGCATAACTGAAGGTGGACTTTGTATGACAGTAGAGTATCGCTTCTCAAGGGAATATTGATTGATTCGCATTCATTTGCAGACATAATCTATTGGTTATAATTTATTAAGTTGCCTGTAGCAATAATAAATACGAATCATTATTCTAATATGTTTTTCCAATTCGTATACCTACTGCTGTAATATTCGTTATGATGCTTTTTGGAATGCACATGCCCGCACTAACTATTCAAATAAGGGACTCTAGAGGGAAGCATTTTCCTTTACTTAGATTAAGGGGTTGTTTACTAACGTTTATAGGTGAATGTTAATTCGGTGAGCGTGACAACGACTAAGGAGTCGTTTACTAAATGCTTACCTGGTAAGTTCTAACTGAGTCCCTTTTACCTTATCGAATGAAGATGACAAATACCAAGAATCTTATCTGATAAGAGCGATGACAAAGGCCGAGAGTCTAATCTGGTAAGTGAGGGGGACGACTTTTTTTTACCCGGTTAGCGATTACCAGACAAATTGTTGCATACAATGCCGTTTTAATGGATTAGACTTTTACTAGTAAAGTAAGTGAGAGCGTTGACTTTTACCAGTTAAGCATTTTGGGTATTGAGTCTTAAAAATCTTACCAAGTGAGAGACATAATAAGAACCAAAAATTTTATCCAGTTAGCGAGAGAAATACTTGTACCCGATTAACTTATAGGATAAAATACACTTACCAACAAATCATTTTGATGTCCAAGTATGTTACATAAGGTAATTAAGAGTAGTGACTCTTTCTGATAAACATTTACCTGACAAGCGTTTGATAAATAACCCTTAACTCTTTTTTGGACAATACAAAATTTTCTTTGGCTGATTACCAATTTGGTACAAACGTGTCAACTGTTGTTTCTTAGTATATATTATCGACTTGTGCTTTGTAGTAAACTAGTCATGTATCTTATGGCATCGCTAATAATAATAAGTCAAGCGGGACTAGAGTTGCCGGTAATTATCCTTTTGCTCAAATAAGAAGTAAAGGAAAAAAGTCAAATATTGGACCTCTCAAACAATTTTTAGGCTTGTTTTGGAAGCAAATAGAAAAATTAAAGCCTAGGGGACTAATTCTGAAAATATTAATACCTGAGGGACTAATTCTGAAACTTTGGATGTCTATACATCCCAGTCGAACCAGTTTCCCTCTCTCCCCTAACTCGCCAGTCTCCTTTTTCATTCACTTCAAGTTTTAAGCATCCTCCGGCTGCCGGAGATTCTGCCTCCGTCGCACCTCCATTTCGGATCAATCGTAAGTGCCAACTGTGCCCTAATCTAAGTCTCATTTCAACACTTGCACCCGCAAACGTGAACGCGCAAACTTGTTCTTTGTTACCATGCTGACCGTGCTATCTATAGATTCTATGTACCGTGTATGTGTTACAGGCGTTTTCTTTCAAGTAGATAAATCATTGCTGCTCGTAGTTGAAAATAGAAACTTGAAATTAATCTAAGTAAACTTTCAATTTAGGGCTTAAATCTCAAGGTCCCATCAAATTAGAACAACTACTCTTGATACACTGGTTTCAAGTATGTGTTTTGCGTCTTATATTTCGTAATTGTAAGATTCTCTGACCTGGTAGATGTATCACGAATGGAGAATCCAAGGCACACTTCTCTTCTCTTGCTGGACTTACTACTATCTATTAATATCGATGATCATATGTGCTAAAAACACATAAATGGTAATCATTTTAGACCACCATGTTTTGCCTTTTCTTTTTCCCGACGTATTGATATGTTAGATTGATTTATATGGTTTGATGTGTTTTTTGGATGTCAGATTGTGGTGTTCTTTTAATACTTTAAGGAAAAAAATGCTAGAATTCTTTTAGTTATAGGAGAGTTCGAGTTCCTTTTTTCTTCTTATGTTAACTCATTGTTTGTTTGATTTTTGCAGGCTTAGATTTGTTGGTGAACTTCAGAGTCAGCAAGGACCAGTTAGTTGGAATTAATTGGTAGAAACATTTACAATGGTATGGTCTTTTTCATTCTCATCCCTTTGTGTGTGAAATAGAACATAATTCTAGAAACTGCCTCTTTTAGAGTAGAGGGTAGGTAATACCAACAATGTACATCTTCCAAATTTATCTTAAAAAACCGAACTTTCTTGAAAAAAAGCAAGATTGGATGCAGTATGTTATGCTAGTAAGATCAACATTTTAGGATGTATGAGTCTCTGATCACCTCTCTTATTTATTTCTAATTGTTGACAAGATCATTTAGATTTTAGCATCGCCTATAAGCAATTTCATTACATATGAGACCCTAAGAGTCCACTAGGAGGAGCAGTTTCCTTACGTAACAGTATTCAATGCTAAAATTATTCTTAATTTATTAGTCAGTTTTATCTTACATATTTTTCGTGTGTATATATATTTTTCAGTCAGGCAGGAAGGAAACAGTTCTGGATTTAGCAAAATTTGTTGACAAGGGTGTCCAAGTCAAGCTCACTGGGGGAAGACAAGGTTAGCAACCACATATAGTTGAGCTATTACTCTTCATAGCATATTACTTAGAAATGAATGTTACTGAAGTAAAAAGCTTTGGCAGATATGATTATTAGGAGTTTATTGGTACTTGTAGAGTTCAAACTAAACCCACTTGATGAAATCTGCCTTCCAACCTGTTAATTTTACCATACAAGCTGGCTGCACTTTTGGAAGTGGTTTGCATTTTCTGAATCCTGCCAAAAGACATATAGCTCTAGACACATGCTTTCTAGGTTTAGAATGAATATATTGCTACTCCTTTTATAGGCAAATGGAATAAACTGGTACATATATGAAGGATTTGACACTTGATTTGGAGGTATTATTTTTGCAAGCCGAAGTCTTCATGGAAGCTTCCTCTCTACCATTTGGGGTGGAGGCAAGGTTTGCATACATCCTACCCGCTAACCCTACCTATGTGTGGGATATATTGATCTTGTTTTGTTTAGTTTATGTGAACATGATGAAATAATGAATAATATAGTATCCATATGTGAATTTACATCAACTTAGTATTGATGAGATTATAAAAAACCAAAAATATTAGATCAAGGACTAAAGAACATAATCCTGCTATGTTTTGTGTATTTTTTGAAAGTGAGAAACCTGTCAATGTTGTCCTCATGTCCATGCTGAAATGGTTTATATGTGTTTGTTCATAACTGGTTGTGCTATTGAAGGCATCTACCCAGTAAAGAATGTTTTGTTTTTCATAGATACAATGTACCTTTTTATGAACAGTTGTAATTTGTATTATCTTGAAGCTATATGATATCCGAGCGGAACAAATTTACATAAAAAGACATAGCTTAGCTTTCCTGTTCTGATCGTTCATCCTACCATTAGATTTGGTTTTAACCCTCATTGAATTACCTCGTGGTTGTGTTATGTAACGGAATAGTGTTATGGTTGGCTGATTTGTCTCTCAATATGAATAGAGTTTAATCATGTCTATCTCTATTATTTCATTTACCATGCATGGGGACCTGTCGCTGTCACATTATCCTGGTTATTTTGTTCCTGAAATCATGGTGTCCCATATACAGAAAATAATATCTTTTTAATTGGTACTTTACAAATTGACATTGTTTTATCAATTAGTGTCAGGGACGCTTAAAGGATATGATCAGTTGCTGAACCTTGTCTTAGATGAAGCTGTGGAGTTCCTTAGAGGTAACAAATTCGTGTATTAAGTACTAATCTTTTTATTACCTGCTTTGTATACATGGGTTCAGAACTTTCACCTTTCTCGTGCTTATATGGTATTCGTCAAGTAGCTATGAAAAGTACTCCCTCCAACCCACTATTAGAGTTCAGTTTGGTATTGAAGTTCAAACTTTTACCTACCAAATTCCATCTTGATGTGGACGTTTTTAGCTGTTTGCTTCTAACTTACGCTCTTATAAAGCATTTATTATGTTTCTTTATGACTAAGACAAGTCTCTGCAGTTTTGAGGTAGAAATAAACCTCCCGTAGAAGTCAAACATGGAGTCTTTTTGGAACGAAGTGAGCATGATTAGTGCTGAATCTTTTTAACTCGATATTATTTTGCTCAGTGCTTGGTTAATGGTTATACTTGCATGCTGCAACTTTTATACATACTCTCGTTTTTACTCTTCAAAAGTTGCCATCATTGTAACTGTCGTGTGGCAAGATTCTCAATGCCGTCAATAGCCAATGGTCTGATGCTCATTTTGAAGTCATGTAAATATTTGATGCACAAGGAGTCTAGAATTACCTATTCTCTCTAGATTATGCTATGCGTTCCAAAGCTTTGCTTTAAGCCTCATACGCGTGTCAACCTTAAGAATATTTTTCTACCCTCATAGATGTATGCTAACCTCCATTTTGCTTGCTGCTTTGGAGAGCAAAAGGAAATACTGATTACATACCTGTGCATATGCATATACTTTTAAAAGAAGACTTAAAAGTTGGTGCAAGGATTTTCCCCATGAAAGTTCAATGTCTTGCAGGTCTACCTTTGCTTGCACTAGATTTGAAACACACAATCTTTTGGGTTTATGTATGGAAATGAAGAAAAAAGAAGAGACACATTTTATGACAGACAGGGGATGGTAGTTGGTTACTTGGTTAGTAGGTTATACAAAATGATGGTGGGTCTGTGGGCAACAACTGTTGCTTTTTATTAGGGAGGGAGATTATTGTAAGACTAGTTGAAGAGACGAGTCTTTGCCCATTTCAAATGAAATTGTTGGGAGACATTATTGCAGTTGTTGAGAAGCAACTGCAATGAACAGAATATAGATGATCCAATAACTACAAGAGGAGGTCAAAAAATTACCAAACCCAAGGAGCTTCGAAGGCCAGCTTTTCCTTAGTCACAAGCGTTTGTCTGTTCTATCATGAAATACATGAGAGACGTTACCATGTTCTTCAAAATGATTGCCATGAAAATTTAAGATGTCTTTGGTCACTTAATCCTTTACCCACCTTGACCTCATGGACTAAAGATGATCTTGATGTTTCATGGCGTATGCATCCCTCGTGCATCATAACCTATCCTTTGCTCAAAATGACCTCATTTATGCTGCTATCACCCTGTACAGATAGAGCTTGAAAAAAGCAGTAGTAGATCTAGGTGGTTGAGTGAATTCTAGCTCTTAATTATGCAAGTGGGATAAAGTGGACGCTTGAGCAGTTCAATTAAATATAACATGTAATGTTAACAACTACTTTTCCAAATGACCAACTTTATTGTTTAATTGATACAACAAAAAAGGTAGGAAAGATTAAGTTGATCTCTAAGTTCAAGTTAATTGATGAAAACAATTGCTAATTCAAATCTATGAGGATGTTTAATGCCTAGTGGCTCCAACTAATTGAAGTGGTAGACGGTTGACAGATGCTTAACAACTAGTTCACCACTTATGTAGCTCTGAGCAGGTAGTTTTAGGATATTGCACATAAAGGGACCTTAGCTTGGTTTCCAATACCCAGATTGGGAGCAAAAAGCCACCCTTGTCTCCATTAATTATAATTCACCATGTGATTGGTGACCCACCCCGTGAAGGCCCAAACTTGGTTATAAATAGTTCCATATCTGCTAAAGGCAAAAAACAAATGTTGATAGTCTGTCTCAAGCTGACACTTGCCTTGGCATAAGATGGACCCAATTTGGCATCTCCGAAGCCAAATAAACTAGAATACCCGCTTCTCTTTTTCTGATCAGTGACCCCCATACTTGTGTAATTAGATCCCATCTATGAGGATAAGTGTTATATCGAGGAAGAAAGAATATCATCCCCCGATTAAAGCATGATGTATTAATCAACCTCAAACTTAATACGTACGTATGAAGCATGGAGTCATGGCAACCACATCGCTAAAAGTGCACTTGGCTTATATTCGATAAAAGAAAATATAATCCTTGGAAGAGGCATGTAATGTCCAAAGCAGCAGCTGGCTTAATTAACCTCCAAATCAACTTAAAACCATGATGGAAGTTACTGGTAGCTCACAACTTTAAACTTATAAGGAGCACAAGTCTACCTTTCTATATCTATTCATATGGGACGAGTTGTTACTAGATACTTTTATTCATATAACATTTAAAACTTTTCTGTGTGAAATTGTAATCATCTTGTCAAGCATATAGGAAAATAACAGGTTTATATTTGAATTTGCTGCAGATGCGGATGATCCATTGAAGACCACTGATCAAACTCGTCGCCTTGGCTTAATAGTATGACTTCCCATCTTCAACTAAATTCTCTTAGTGAAATAGATAAATACAATGTTCTTGAACTTGTGTTTGTGTGTTATTTGTAAGCAAAATTATAGGCATAGTTTGTGAAGCATGTCAAGATGTATAGATTTATTTGTTTACGTTGCAGGTTTGCAGGGGTACTGCAGTTATGCTTGTTTCACCCACTGATGGTACAGAGGAGATTGCCAATCCATTTATCCAGCCAGATGGAGCTTAATCTTTTCAATTCTCATCTTGTTAGACAAAGCTACTTTCAAAATGATCAACTTCGGTGTGCACAAACAAATTTAATTACAATGCTACTTGTAAGCATTTAAACGTTCAGGCTTTCTGCACCCTGCAATATATCTGCAATTAGCTTATGCCAACAGGTACTTAGGGTTAGGGTTCGTTTACCGAACGTTACATACATTTATTAGAAGATTCATTTTGTCGGGGACGTTTGGGATTGCTTGCTTATTAACTTATTTCGATTTCGATGGGTTAAGATGGATTTATAAAAGTCCGACTTACCACCACATAAGTAGACAACCACTTGTTTTAAATAAGTAATCCCAAACACCCCTCAGTAAGCATTTAGATGGCTATTGAGATAAGGAAGGATTTGAAACATGTAGGAGGAAAGATGAATTTTTTATTTGAACATTACAGATGATACAACACCAATAAACGACCTAACGTTGCATCTCTAACAATTCAATTCAGAGAATGTTCATCTCAAATCACCACCGGATGAAACTTTTTTCAAGCTCGCAACAACGGATTAATTAATTAATTTTCAGAAACTACGATCAACACAGGAGATCGAGCGTTCTTCTCCGAGTTTTCAAGTTTCTTTTCCGATCAGAAATATTTAGAATTATGGAAAACACGTGTGAAATTCATATTCTAACGATTTTTGCCGCCTTCACCACCGGGTTATCCCTAGCGATCGCCTCACGACCAGCGGTTTTGTAATCGTAGCTGCAATCGTGGCGGTCGGAGTAACGGTGCTCAGCGCAGAATAGATCTCCGCACCGGCACCGGAATCCGGTCAAACCTACCCTCTTCCGGCATCCGGAGCATCGATTCACCTCCTTTTTGATCACCACCGCGTCGGTCCTCTCCTTTTCTTTCGATTCTTCATCCAACGCCACAATCGTCCGATCTAACACCAGATCTACCGATACGTCGCGAGGAGACGCTGGTCTGGAGGAGCTAGATCTGCTACGAGCACGTTGCGACGTCGTTGAGCTGGCGGTTGTGGTGGCGTTGAAGCACTTCTGACACATATTGTTGGTGGCCGGATTTCCAACGACGCCACAGTTATTGACGCACAGAGTCAGCGTTTCAGGTACCACCTTGAATTCCGTCTCTTCTTTCTCCGTTCTCTGAGCCATTTCTTCCGATCAAAATTAAAACTACAACTACCACCACCGAATCCTTGAATAAAAAAATGTATAAAAATTGAAGAAAAATCGGACGATAATCAGACAAGATCTTGGCGTGATCGAAATAGAAGAATTAGGATTGATTGAATGATTTTTTTTGTTGGGGGTGTTTTTTTATGGGGAAGAAGGTCGGTCAAGCGCGTTATCATCATGCGTCGGGTATATGTCAATTTACCAAAATAACCTTTGTGGAAAGCATCTGACGTGTTCATTACTCCATCATGATTCATGGCCAGATACCTACACTTGAACAAAAGTACGGAAACCACTTCTCCTTTGTAAATTACTAATTTCGTCCATCTGGTTTGCAAATTCTGTGGATTTGGTCCTTACAGTTTTAAAATTACAAGATTTCCCTTATGGTGTCAGTTTTCCTATGGATTTGGTCTTTTAGACTAACTGCCCTTTGTTAAGTGACCTCATGAGGGTAATCTCGTCATTTTATACTTTATTATGTTACAAATCTATACTATATTATAAAATATTTGACAAAAACTCTTAAAAATAAATTTTTATGCAAAAAATATTGTTTATTGATGCATATTCTATAAAATTCAAGATTACAAGTAGAATGTACGTGAATATATCTTATTAAAGCTACATGTTTGAATCCGTGTAACTAACTGCAGATAAACATAATCAAATACATGATAGACAACATTTTTAATATAAAAAATTTAAAATATAATTAGGATAACCATTGATTTCTAGCAGAACATTTAATTATTATTATCTTAAAAAAATTATTTCATTAAATCAAAAATAAATTAGTTCTTTATTAAACTTCAATTAAATTATAATAAAAAATTGAATTAAAGAAATTATACAAAAACGTGAACTTTTAAAGAGTTAATTTGATACTAATATCGATTATTTGTTTCAAAATTTTATAATATCTTTAAATTTATATTTTATTTAAAAATAAAAACATTTTCGTTTTCTCAAAATCACATAAAATAAATTATAACATCAATATAGCCAAAATATAAAATAAAACATTAAAATCAAGATATATTTTATTACAAACAAGTACCCTTCTATTTAAGTCTTAAAGCATTTAAGAAAAAAACTAAATTTACTAACCCCTTGCTTGCAGTTGGCCTCCCCATCTTTGATTTTCCCTCCCCCTCTGATTTTTATTTATTATAACATTGTATTTTTATTTCTTATTAAATAATTTGTATTTTTAAATTATTTTTCATTAAAATATTGTATTTTAAAAATTCTATTTATTATAGCAACGAATAACCATCTACTTTTAAACAGGTTATCACATCTGTTTTTTACTTTGCTTATGTGATGAAATTAAGGTTAGATGGCTAACAATGTATAATAATGCTTATATTTAAATATAATAAATAAAATATAAATTATATTACTCGTTTCTTATTTTTAGTCCAAATCAAAAGAAACAAAATACGTAATTTACTTGTTCATGATTAGAAAAAAAACATGGTGTATTTATTTTTGGAGCTTCCTCCCAATTCAACACCATCAATTGGATTTTGTTGTTGGAGTTGAAGAGTTACCATGCATCCAACTCTAATTTTTGTTTTTTTTTGTTAAAATTGCCATCTAAATTTCGAAGCACTTAGCAGTTGTTTTCTCAAATTTAATTTTGAAAAAAAATAAAGGGAAGAAAAAAAAAATTCAATCACTATTAGAAAATAAGGTATCAGCGACGAAAATCAGCGAGAGAAAAATTCTCTCGCTGATCAATGAGGGAATGGCCAAAAACCAGATCTCTCACTGATCAACGAAGGAATTGGCCATAATCCATTTCCCTCGCAAATCCGTCGTTGAAAGTACTCACGCAGATTCGTCGCTGAAACTATTCCTTTGCTGATCCGTCGCTGAATCTATTCCCTCGTTGATCCGTCGTTGATAGCATTACCTACGAGCATTTGACTGACGGGTATTATCAGTGACAGATCAGCAGCGGAAAACCGTTTTAGCGACGAATTTGCGAGGGAAATTTCTCTCGTTGATACACTGTATTTTTGTAGTGTTAATATTAAGTTGTTTTATTAAGATTGAAAGAAAATGAAAGTAATTTTTTTTCATGTTTTTGAGCAGAAGAAAAAGTAAAAGAAGTCATTTTTACAAATATACCCTTATCTATTTTATAGTGGAATATAATTAACGAGTAGATGTGTAATTTTATAAATATTTTTAATTACTATAAATTGTTTTCTTCCCATATTTAAGAGAAAAATCAACATTATTTTTGAATTTGCTAGCTGTTTCCAAAACATTGATGTGTTTTATTCTATTGCTTTCTAACAAATCATGAAACGAAACACCTTAAAGGAAAATCTTTAATACGTTTGAGTTATAAATATAAATGATTTTTTATTTTTCAGGAAGGACGCTAAACAAATGAATTAAATTACAGGCTAATTTATTTTACAGATTCCTTTCCTATTTATTATAATTTTATCTCTATAGATAAAACTTCAAATCGTTTTTTCTCGAACCATACAAAGAAGAAAATGCAAGGGTAAAACTCGATATACAGTTCACGAGATTCATGTTGGGAAATGGGGAGGTGTTGAAAACAGTAACGATTACGAACGAAAGCGTACGTCTGGAGGTTTTGTAAGCGTTCTATAAGAAAAAAACTCATTTTTCCGCTACATCTATCATATATTACATGTGAACAGTAATATGACATGCTTTGTGTCACGTTATTGTAATTTAAGTCATAGGCAATTCATTGCTATGATCGACAAACTATTTAATATATGATGTTTTCATAAAAAATAACCCGAAAGTATAATACTATAATAAGAATAAATGAAAGTACAATGTCATCATAGGAAAAAATCAAAAACAAGAAAATGGTATCAACCAATCCCCTAAATTTACATTATCAGCAAAGTGATATTTTTTTTTGATTAACCTGAATATCCAACTCGCTATGCGAGCCGACTAATCTCAGGACGAGCACCCATGAGTTACCGCATTTGAACCTCCATGGCTACTAGGAGATTTTTATTCCTCATTGGATTCGAATCTGTGACCTCCCGACACTTTTGACATTTGGAGCTCTTGAACACCACCCTTGTGGTTAAAAAGTGATAATTTTTCCCTCAACTAATATAATAAACCTTCAAATATTTGTTATTTCATCCCAATATTCACAAGTAACCGATTACACAAATTAAATGTTTTAGAACTAAAGAGGGAAACGATGAACGAAAACCTTTGGAGATGTTAAATGGTTTTAGCATTAAAGACGGAAGTGATCAAGACGAAAATAAAGATACAAAAACCCTAGAAAATAATGCGGGTTGGAAGCGGGCAGAAGAAAGGAAGAAGAGAAAAATAAATAAATTAAAATCCCTGTCGTTAAATAATACTGCTCTATGTTGGCGTATAGCAATTTTCTTTTTCCAAAAAAACCCAGTGCCCACGTAAGTTTTACACTTGATTATTAGGTAGATCGATAAATATAAGATGATCTAAAAATTGTTATTTGAAAAAGAATATTATTCTACTAAATAAGAACTAAGAAACATTTGTTACATCATAATACTGATTTATAATGACACGTCGTATATTTTGTAACGCAATTGTCAACTCAACCAAAAATGTGTGCCACATACATTTATATTTGATTATTAGGTAAGTTGGTATCATAATAGCAAGATGTGAAAGTTAACATAATTTTTTTTAACGGCAAGAAAGTTAACACTGTTAGGAAAAAAAAAAATCTGCTATTACATTAAATAAGAACTAATGCAAATTTAAGATGATACATTTTGTCACATATAAAACGAAAATGTTGGAAGACTGAAAGCAACTCGGTTTGTCTAAAATAACGGATATGAAATTCTAAACCATAAACCGAGCCGTGTAGCTCGGTTTAATAATTCCTCAAACCAAATGACCAAATAATGAAGAGCCAACTAGGCCATCAATTTTGGTTTGTTAATCCCATATTTTGTTTAAAAGAAAGTCCAACGATGACTCATCTATATTATATTATAAAACATTTGATAAAAAAACTCTTCAAGATCATTTTTTATACAAGAAATATTATTTATTGATGCATATTACTTAAAATTTAAGATTACAAATAAATTGTGCGTAAGTATAATTTATTAAAGTTTCATATTTGAATTCGTGTAACTAACTGGAGATAAACATAATCAAAGAGAGAATAAACATGTCATTTTAAATCTCATTTTAAAATATAAAAAATCTAAAATATAATCAGAATAATTATTGAGTTCTAACAAAATAATTAATTATTATCTTTATAAARAAACTAGAAGAGTACTCGCGCAATGCAGCGAGACACATCTTGATTTTAATGTTCTATTTTATTATTTGTCTATGTCAATGTTATAATACAATTTTATGTGTTTTTAAGAAAACAATAATGATTTTATTTTTGAAGAAAATATAAATTTGAAAATATTATAAAATTTTGAAAAAGAATATATCAATGTTAATATCAAATCA